ATCCGCCGCCACCTAACCCGCCGCCACCAAGCCCACCCCCACCCAACCCACCGCCACCTAGACCGCTGCCACCCAACCCGCCGTTGCCACCTAATCCACCGCCACCCAGCCCACCGCCACCCAGCCCGCCACCTCCCAGCCCACCGCCACCTCCCAGCCCACCGCCGCCCAACCCACCACCACCCAGCCCGCCACCGCCCAACCCACCACCACCCAGCCCACCGCCACCCTGCCCCCCACCACCCAGCCCCCCACCACCCGAACCGCCCCCACCCAGCCCACCACCACCCAGCCCGCCACCACCCAGCCCACCACCACCCAGTCCGCCACCTCCTAGCCCGCCACCACCGAGCCCACCGCCGCCCAGCCCACCGCCGCCAGTCCCGCCCCAGCCTCCCAGTCCATTCCTTGAACCATCGCCACCAAGTCCCCGACCCCCCCGACCGCCGCCACGGCCGCCGCCATTTGCGACGCCCAATGTAAGGGCCGGAGCTTCGTGCATTAAAGTGCTCATCATGGGGACGCCCTAGATTACGGGCTGGGGGCTTGGGCCAGAACGCAAACACCGTGTTGCACCGTGTTTTCATATTTACCTGTTGATTTTTTCTGCTCATTCGGCCAAAGTTAGGGGCGGGGTACGAACCTAGTACACGTTGGCAAAAATGACAGAATTGTTTACGGGCACGCAGAATACCAAACAACACCATATACCTGCATGCACATGGAATCGAACGGCGGTAGTAAAGGGCACATAGGGATTTAGGGAGATCTGGAGATGAAAAGCTGCAACTGGTTCACGTTCTTTCCTTATGATTTTTATACACACCACACACACACGCACACACACACACGCACACACACACACACACCGCCTCCATCACAGCTAAACCATCGCCACTTCCCTCAACGCGGCTCAGATTATATCAAAACGCACACACGGATGAACGAACACCCAGCCCGCACATTCTCTAACGCCCCGCCATCACGGTTTCCCTCCTCCTCCCCTCTTGGCACGCGACACAGGTGGTGTTCTACAACATCGACATGCCCGCAGACGACAACACGGCTAATGATGATGATGATGACTAAGCTATAGAAAATCGAACTGGACATCCTGCAGCGATCAAAAAACTGCGAAATTCAGGCAGTGGGAAGGTTTGAAGACGGACCAGTTTTTGGGTGATTTGCGAAAGGGAAGCCCTGGGAACAATTTATGCAACGGTCGGAAAGGGTAATCCACATGAAGGCTATGGCCAACAGCAAGTCTAAGAAGGCTTGCAAGGACGCCGGCGGCAAGTGAAAGAAAGAGTGTTGAAAGGCGGAGGGAGGATGGGTGGGCGTACATGCAGTGAGCACGCAGGCGAAAAGAGGCCTCCTATCCTATTTTGCTTCTTTACGCACACACGGAGCGCAGCGCAAGCAGTGCCTGTGTCCCCCAATGCCCATGATCCTCCGCATAACAGCAAAGAACCCAACGCTTAACGTTGAATGGGAGGCATAATCAGGACAGCATCAGTAGCAACACCACCATCATCATCGTCATCATCATCATCATCATCATCATCATCATCATCATCATCATCATCATCATCTCAGCCTCGTTCCTCGCTCTCCACTTCCCTGCCGACTACTATACATGTAGCAATGCCAGCGGAGAGCCCCCCCGTCGGCGGGGGCCACCTGTGCCTCGGTGTTAATTTACTTTGGTCGGCAACCAGAACGTCGTCGGCATGGGTGGGGTATGTATGTCTTAATTCATCATTGGCACCGTTGGGATCCTCTCATGGTGTACGACGTTGAGGCTCCCTATAGCTAGCAGAGCACTGGCGGGCGGGGCAGGGCCCCCGGGGATAGCATACGTTGTAACGTGGGGCAGCAGCACGTGTTTTCGTGGGAGCGTCTGGGTAAACGGACTAATGGGTGGATGGGGGCCCAGTGAAAACCTTTGGCGTGCCTTGGTTTACGGAAGCACAGCTGTGCTTTCGTTAGCACAGCACCCCAACCGAACATGTCAGCCGTACGTCCTGATGACATGGCCAGGAGGAAATTGAGCTGGCAATGGAATTGCAATGGTCGTGTGCGTAGTACGGCTGGCCCCCGCTGTGCGTAGATCAATATATGTTGGGCAGTGGCAGAAAACACGGCACATATTTGGCGCGGCGGGCGCGTCTTGCGGTTGCAGGTTGCGGGCATTGTTATGAAGTTTAATGCGGGTAGGATCAGTAGAATTTATTAAGTACAATAAATTTTACGTCTGCGTCGCGCACATGCGCCCTTGGATGGATGATCACAACGATTGGTGATTCGTTAGATCATTGCACGTGTGCGTATGCACCTGTGAGGTTGTGTGCGTGCGCATCCGTCTATCTATCAATCTAGCAGTTTCGATTATTCAATCGATTGAGCCACGATTTACAAACGCGGCGTGCTTTATATTCTGGGCCATTCAATTCTTCTTATGGACTGGAGCACGCACACACACTCACGCAATCCCACCTCGCGTGTAACTTCGCGCGTACATGTGTGAATGCAACCACCGCGCATGAAAATTAGTCACTCCATAGATATGTGAATCGATGTAATGATGTTGCTAGGTTGAAGTATCGCATATCTCTCTTGTATTAATCCGCTGTGTTTGGATGAACCTGTGTTGCAATGGACCGAATATGATTGATGGTTGTTGGTGCAGACCACTCAACCCATCATCGCTCACTCTGCCCGTCGCATAGAAAGGGTTGGAAGGAGCCTCGTACGTAGAAAGCGTCAGCAAGCCCGAAGTGAACTTCCGTATGTAAGTCGTTAGGATGACTGCGGGAACAACGACGCGTTTGGCATGACTTGAGTTCGTAGATTGCGGCGCCCTTGCATGTTGACAGCGACGATAATCTCTCACGTCTACCATGGAGGCGATGACGATGACAATGACGATGACGATGATTACGATGACGACAGCAATGTCTGCAAGATTCAAGTTGTTGATCAAGATGTTTGTTAGTATCCAAAATTGTAGTCAAGGCCCTGGTCTCCTTCTCAGCCATGCTGTGTAATTGTTTAGGATAGCGGGGTTTAGCTTCGCCCGTGGACACTAACCTGCCAGTCCCAACCTTTCCCCTGTATTTCGGGGCACCCCATCCTTTGCCCCACGTGTGCCGACGGTACGTGTTTCTCCTACCCGGTCGGATCCCCAGCTTGGGAAGAGGTTCACCCGCCGTCGTTCACCCACGTGATGCAATGATGGCGAGATGTGGTGGTACCTACCGTGCGGAAATCGTGCGGACATGGCATCATACAGCGCTATGTCCTCACCTATGGTGTTTGCTCATCCGTACCACAGGAGTGATGATGTCACATGCATTTGGCCACATATCACATATCACATTTCGTACGCAAAAAATATATGGCTGTGATTTGGGCTGTGCAGGAGCTTAGCATGCGGGCAGCTTTTCTCTGAATGGCATTTGAAGGTGCATGGGTTTCAGAGTTACGAACAGCTTGGTGGTGGAGCTGCTTTCGGTGAACTATTAGGCCGCGGGGTGATGCGACCCGCCAGGAGTTCGTCGCTTGGCTATGTAAAACACAACCGCACAGCTAAGAACACAACTCAGAGTGGAGAGGCACGCCTGGCTGCCTGACTGCCTGCCTACTTGCCTCGGCTGCCCGCCTGCTGCACCAGGCTGCACGACGCCCCCGAACCACACCCTCCATGAGCCGTATGTATGTCGTTACAGGGTGATTAAGCTTCACCAGCGGCCCCCTTTCCCGAGGCAGCTCCCTGCTCTCCCCTGCGAGAGGGGCACCCTAATCCATTCACCCCATCCGATTTCAGAATGTATTCGTTGGGTTCAGCAACTCACCACCAGCATCCAACCAAATCTAGCGGATCATGAGCCGTATGTATGCATACAATCATGAGGGGCTAGTAGGGAAGGCTCCGTGCCTCCTAAACTAAATAACTATAATTTCCTGTGGGAATACATACTTATCATCTTCCTTGGGGCAGCCGCAAAAGCGTGGCGGCTACCTTAGGAGTAAAGTAAAAAGGACAGACAACGTAGCCAATAAAAGCTACTGAGTTCCAAACGGAGGGTCACCTAAAGCACTAGGGCTTATGTAATGAAAACAGCACGTACGGTTCCCGTGGGGGAGTCCCGGTGGGATGACGTTTGCTGCACCTGCTCCAACGTATCTGAGGCAGGGGCAGCAAAAGGCGGCCGGGATTGTCTGTTGCGCACGCGGTGCTCCTGCAGACCATCCGTGGCGCGCCACGGATCCCTAGTTCCGGTCATATAGCTGTCTTGTCTCATGATCACAAGCTGTCTCCCTACGACCCGGTGTTCTACCCAAAAGATTTAACTTTAAAGTATTAGTAGCACCCGACGCATTCACCAGGAAGGTCGTACTGTGACTGAAAAATGCGACGCGACGGAGATCTCTCAGAAACAGCAGCAATGGAAGGCCTATATGCAATGCAAGGGGTCTATATGAGGCTCTTGTTTCCTTGACCCACTTCAAGACGGGTGCGGGTATCTGTTGTACATGTCATACACACCATCAAATACGCATACGCGCCAGAGCGCGTTCCCAACACCTCGGGGGTCCTTTTCGGCGGCCAGCTACTGAAGTAGGTATCTGTGTGTGGGCTCTGGGGAATCGGCCTCGGTGCGGATGCAGCTGACCTGGGGATTTCAAACAAACACGGAATAACGTACTACGCGATAACACTGTAACACACACACACACACACACACACACACACACACACACACACACACACACACACACACACACACACACACACACACACACACACACACACACACACACACACTGCATGTCGATAGCTGTGGGGAAAAAGCACCAGCAGAATTCGTGATGGCGTCGCGTGATTGCTACTTAAGGACTTGCCAAAAGCCAGATTGGAAGCGCTAGATTTTATTACATGCGCCCGGGTTCGCGGTTCTCCCCTAGTGCTGGGTGGGGTGTCTGACAGCGGTGTCGGAAGCCAGCCGGTAACACACACTTAACATGTCACAACCATAATGTCACAACACGACGTCCATATGACCCCTTTTAGCCCTACACCGAAATTAGCGCGACCAGTAACTAGAGTACTTTTTGATTTAACTGAACGAAAAGATCGTAACGTGCGTCGCAAAATAATTGGAGTCAAGCGACGCTCAGCCACGGTCAACGTCTTAACACCTGGCAGGAAAACTCCAGGAGCTAAGCAGCTAGAGGAGCACATTGCTCAGAGCTGCAGGCCATTCCTGGATGGATGCATAGCAACAATTAAAGCGGAATTCCAGAGCCAATTGGCAGGGCATGTTGACAGATGCCAGCAGACTAGCGATGACATGAAGCATCGCATCAACGACCTAAGAAGCCTAGTGGAAGAGCAGGCAGAGGTTGTTAAAAGCCTTCAGGAGCGGAATGCTGCGTTGCGACAGGAGCTTGATGCCACGGTGGGTGAGCGCAGGCTCACGACGCAACGCTTAAAGGAGTTAAATGAGCGCATTGAAGCCCTCGAGACCGAGCGAAGCTCGGCACGAAGTGAGCCAATCATTACGCGAAGCCAATCGGCGGACGCAAAGGCCCTTAATAGGCGGATGGAGGCCCTGGAAAAGCGGCTCGCCGAGCACGCCGCAAGCAGGCCAAGGGAACAAGCGGTGCACTGCAGAGAAATGACCGAGAACGTGGACAGCGTTACTGCCCGTGTTACCACGCTCGAGGAGCGTTTCAATGACTGGGAGCGCACGCGCACAGCCCCGGCAGATGGTGCACGATGTACCGGAGCCACGGGGGGGCGTCGCATGGGCACCAAAGCAGCGCCGCCTGCAAAGCAAGACCAACAAGATCCCCGGGAAGAACTCCATAAGGAGCAGCAAGAACGGCCGAAGCAGCAGCAGCCAAAACAGCAACCAAGACCTAACAGAGCCGTCGCTGATACCACCACCTCCAAAGCCCCAAAGGTGACAGTGATCACTACCAGACCACATGAGGTGGCCGCAAGCTGCAGAGGGTTTGACACGACAGCAGGCGCCCCTGCTCCCAGGCCCCCCAAAGCACTGGCTGAGACTACCAGCAGCACCGATGGACATATAGACCGGGGTGCACTGGTCATCGACGGACTACCAGCTACTTGGACGCAGGAGGAAGTGATCCAGAAACTGCAACTGCGCTTGCAGCAGCTTACTAGCATGAAGGTCGCGTTCTTAGATTGCACCGTCGAGGCACACCCGAACGTCGCTACTCGCAGCAGCAAGCGGACAACCCAGCGGGTTCGAATCACGACAACCCCAGCGGCATATTATGCTCTGTACTCGTTACGGAAGCAGCTGGGCCTTAATGCGGAGGAAGGAGCGGATGAGTCGTTCCCGGCTGTGAGAGTGTCACTGGCGCTCACAGCACTTGGCGAATCGTACAAGAAAGGGTACCAGGACGTATTTCGGCACCTAGTCGATAGTAAGAGGGCCCCTTCATGGCGGGGTACTCACCTCATGGCGCTTACTGAGCCAGACAGCGGTGTCTGGGCGAAAATAGACATCCGCAAAATGGCTGCAGAGCTGAGGCAAGCAGCTAAGTAGGGAGCACGCCGGGGGGGTAATAGCATCCGTTTCCTTATTTGGAATATCCACGCCTTCTCGGCAGGCAAGTTTGACCAAATTAAGGCTATTCGTGGATTGCTCAATCACGATGTTATCATCCTTACAGAGACGAAGGCGCCCGTTAATCGCACTCGTGCCAAGGAGCAACTAGTATTGCAGGGTTATAGCCACCTTGCATGTACTAGAGCACCGCGCACAGGCTCTCGAAGGTCAGGCGGTGTATCTGTGTTTGTGCGTGATGAGCTGGCCCCCTGCGTGAGAGAAGTGGGCTTAACGAATACACCCGTTGGGGTGGAGATCGTCTGGTTGCGATTCCATAGCGTTCTCCCTGGAGGGCGGGCGCTCCTACTGGGGGCTGGTTACTGCTCGCCCCAGGGGTCCAGCGTTTATAGCAGCACGGATGGTAGTGGCCTGGCGTATAGCGAGGTCCCCGACGCTGTATTTGGAAGCATTACTGGCGAGCTAGATAGACTGCGGTGCATGGGTGATGAGGTGCTTATCACAGGTGATTTTAATGCCCGTACAGCAGCTATTCTAGACTTGCCCGGAGTAAATGGAATAGGGGCACACTCCCACGTCGGCGTTCCCCGTAAAAATAGAGATAGTGGGCTGAATTGTTTTGGCCGCCGATTGGCACAAATGTGTCTTGACACAGGCCTAGCCATTGTCAATGGGCGGGCACCTGGTGATGTGCCCGGGGGTTTCACTTACTCCAACTCTACTGAGGGTCACAGTTCTATTGATCTGTGCCTTGCATCTTACGGGCTCTTCGAGCAGATTAACACTCTCAAAGTCCTTAGATCTTACTTATGGGGAGAGTCTAATGTGCTAAGTGATCATCACCCGCTTATCCTTCGCCTGCATGCCGTTTTTAGGCCAGGGGCTGCACGGGGTCGGAAGCCTCACCCAGCACGTGAACGGATCCCTATTTTTGATATTTCACGCAAGGGCCGCTTCACTGAGCTTTTTCGTGAACCAGATGGCATTATTACAGAGACCATCAACTCTCTCAAGGAAAAGCTTGTAGAAGGGGCACCCTGTGACGAAAGCATGAATGACCTGCGCACCCTTATCAATAAGTGTGCTAGAGAGACGTTCGGCGGTGCACGGGGGATGGAAAAGTCTGTGAAGCGTGACTGGTGGAACGAGGACTGTGCAGCTGCGTGGAATGATATGATGAGTTTCCGTAAGGAGGTCAGGGACCCCGTCTCAGGCAAGCTGCCCGATCTACATAGGACTACCTGGAAGGCCAAGCACCGTGCCTTTAAGAAGGCTAGGAAGGCCGCTATTCAGGAGTTTGAAATGGAAGATATGCAGAGGAGGATTAAGGACGCCCGGTTCAACCCACGCGGATTGTGGACATGGCTGCGTGGGGGAAAACCACCTCCTTGCGGGATCTCAGATATTAATGCTTTTACCGAGCATTTTTCCAAGGTGCTTAATGGTGCAGGAGAGACGAGGCAATGCCGCAATGAGGGTATTCAGTTTAGATGGCTGGACGAGGACCAGGTGACGCACAGACGGGAATTAGCTGCTTGGCTTAACAAGGATTTTACGGAGGATGAAATTGCTAGTGGCCTTAAGGCTATGCGCAACAATAAGTCCGCGGGCCTGGAGGGAACCCCGGCCGAGTATTATAAGTACGCTATCAGGGAAACTGAAGGGCAGCAACCCGTGCTTGTATTGGCGCCTTACTTAACGGTGCTATTCAACCGCATATACGGAGCTGACTACCCGAGGGAATTCACGACTAGCACCCTGTCCCCCGTATTCAAAAAAGGGGACGTGTCTTGCTGTGACAATTACCGGGGAATCGCAGTGGGGGGTCCCCTGAGCAAACTTTATGCCAATATCATAGGGAGGCGATTAAATAATTACTGTGAGGGCAATAGGCTACGTGCCGTTAGCCAGGCTGGATGTAGGCATGGTTTTGGCACCGAGCATCACTTGTTTACATTAAGGCATCTTATCTCGAAGCACACTGTGGCCGGAGCCAAGCCGCTTATTATCATGCAAATTGACTTTAGTAAGGCGTTCGACTCCGTTGACCATGAGACACTTTGGGATTTCCTAATGTCGTATGGGCTACACGGGCGCATCCTCGATTCTTTAAAGGCTAGCTATGCTGACGTGAAGTTTCGGGTCAAGTTAGGAAATAAGTTGGGACCTGAATTCAAGGTGGGGCGTGGTGTTAAGCAAGGGTGTCCCCTTAGCGTAACCCTTTTTGGACTCTTCATAGAAGTATTCGCTCATTATATTGATGCCCATGATGCTAATTGCCGTGTATGCCTCCCCAGCCGATGGAGCACCCTTCGTGAGCAGAGTGTTAGCCTGGCGGGCGGTGATCTCACTAACCTACTTTTCGTTGACGATGTGACACTGGTAGCGACAGGGCACGATAGAGCGGAATGCCTTCTGGGGCTACTCGAAGCCTACTGCAAAGCGACGGGTATGGCCGCGAATGCCGCCAAGTGCGAGGTCCTCATTTTTGGGGGTGCTACGCGCGAGCGGAAGCGGCTTGTTGAAGCTGAGTACCGGTTAGGTGGGGCGGGGTTGCGGGTGCTGACCGGCAACGAGACGGCACGGTATCTCGGGTTGCACTATGGCCCAGGAGTGCAGTTCTCAGCATGTACCAAGCAACTACTCACAGCAGGGAGGCGGGCCACATTTGGGCTCAGCACCCTGTGTCGTGATAAGAAAATTACCACCCCCAAGCTATGTATGTCTCTCTACAATACACTAGTTGTACCGGTGTTTTCTTATGGAGCGCAAGTTTGGGGACCTGACTTCATTAATGTGAATTTTGAAGGTGCTATGGCTAATCCCATGGTCCAGGAACAACGTGCTTACATGCGAACCGTAGTTGGGGCGAGGAGCCCGACTATGGTTTCCCTGTATCGCGAGCTGTCACAGAGGCCACTCCAGTTCCATTGGACCAATCTTGTACTTAGGTTTTGGAACTCTGTGGTTAAGAGGCCGGGAACGTTGTGTCACCGGGCATTTGTCGCTGACCTGGAGTTGGCACTTGGGGGCGCCACTGAGTGTTGGGCAAGCAAGGTACTAGCCTTTCTTACTAGCTTAGGAGTGGAACCCCCCACTAATACGCGCGGTAATGATCTTATATCGTACTACACCACCCTTAAATTGCCAGTCGAGAGCATTCTTAAGGTTTTTGCCAAGCGGCTTGATGCTCGGTGGGAGTGCCCGAATACCTTGGGTGACCCCCGCGTCTTCCCCATAGGAATTACCGGAGCCAAGGCGTGTCGCTATATGAACTGGATGGGAGCTGCCCCGTCAAGGGGTGCGCGTCTTGATTGGTTGGAGCACACTAAAGGGACCATGCCCCAGCGACTTCATCATGTGCTCATGCGTTTTCGGTTAGGCTGTTGGGAGTTAGAGGTTAATAGGCCTAATGGGCGTGAGCGCACCGCGCGTACCTGCAGGCTTTGTGACTGTGGAGCGGTTGAAGATGAGTTGCATGTTTTCGAAGAATGTCCCGCTTACAAGAGCATACGGACTAAGTATGATGGTGACCTAGTCCTTACGGGGCGCAGCATGCGCACCACTATGACTGAGGCGCCACCCCTGGCATTGGCCAGGTACCTCTCGGAAATCTGGGAGGCCAGGCACGTCGCGCTGAGGCGCTTCGCCCTGAAGCGGACGAGGGAGAATGAAGATGACCTCCCGCGTACCCGCATCAATACCAATACAACGTCCATGGCCCCCCCGGCTTTTACGGACACACCCGCACTTGTGTGCGGAACTTGTAACTTGTAACTTGTATTTACCGTAAAAAACGCAATGTTTTCTGCCTTCGTTCTGCAGCCGCGCCCAAAATGGCCAAGTGAGCAAGAAAATGGGAATTGTTCACCAATTCGACATGCGGCACTTGCGCATGAGTGATCATATTCCTTTTTCTTTTTTTGTAATTCGCCAGAGGACTGTTTGCACGTGCTTAGTACGTTGATGATACACGGCAGGGCTCCGCTTGCAGACGGACACGACCGTACAAATCGTAAGTAACGCTTTTTGATGATGTCGCTGCGAACTTTAAGAGCGCAGGTCCGTAAGAAATTTATACATTATTCCGCTTGGCCCCTTCTCTATAAGTGATCAATATATAGGTGGGCTGCCGTGGCCCACGCCCGCCATCAGCGCGCCAGCCATACATTCCAACTACTTCCAGCCCGTTATAACACAACTAACGGTCATTGTGGATAGGTCACCCGAGGCGGAGTGGAACCCCCGAAGCGTTAATCTCTGTGCACAAAAAATGCATGAAAAATGGTGCCTTACGTAGAAGGATGGCCACCATGCAATTTTTTATTCGTGAATTCCTGCCATGGCCACAGTACGGTATATGCGTTCGTTGAACAAAGTGACGATAGAGATACCGCACCCCGAAAAGTCCTGCTAGACCCTACATTAGTAGGTTAGCTACTGTTCGTCGTCACAAATGAGGCGAGCAAGGACAAGACGATCTGTCAGCTCATACGTGAACACGGACACTTTTTCGACTTCATGCATAGTCATGTAGGACATTGACGGCTTCAATGTGTCTTTTTGTGACTTATAGACGAGCAAATGAACCAATGCCATAGCAGTTGTAGAGCCAGAGGACGGAAATTTTATCTGTAGGATACGTGCTAGGCAAGCAAGAATTAAGTCGGCATAAGCCGATGAGACCAAGTGCCCACATTTTACACTGTCCTGTGCTCTTACAACTTCTGGAAATCCCCTTAAGCGCATGCTCTTAAGATGCTACCACATCGTGTTGCTAGCACTGAAATTGTGCTTACTTACTCGGTTGCGGAATAGGCGATACAGTTTCATAACATACAATTATATTTGCCACAGACCACAGATAGATATAGATATGCACTAAGTATGCAAGACAACCCTGCAACGGCAGGGGTCTTCGATAAGCTAGAGGCTGCCCTGGGCGAAGCTTGGTGACCCGGATGCCGTAATTCTATGAAAATGACACCATCACAAAGCCAGTACCTTCGTTATAATACTACGCGTGTCTTATGCATCTATTGATAAGCTGTTACTGTTGTTACCGCGACATCCTGGCCAGTTCCGTACACATTCCCTGCTCAGATCGAACCCTCAACAGCCACCGAATGGAACTTTGCTCGAGCCACGTTAGGAGCATATAGATCTAGGGCACCTGAGCTGAAACCTTAAGGAAAAAGGGAGGTTCCCTGGGTAGCGCCCGCAATACCGCGATGAACTTATCGAAGCTAATATGACAGATGTTCTAAACATGACTCCGACAAATCAGGATGCTCCAGCTTTTCGGGCTTCGGCAACGGCACGTGAGCTTGAGCGCATTCGGGCGAAACGACGTTTGTTGGAGACGACAGGAAAGATTATGCCTGCACCAACTTCATTTGTGCTGACCGAATCACAGGTGAGAACCTCCATGCACTTAACTTGCTAAGGCCTAGCCTGGCCGTTGACCAAGAATGCTAAACGGTACCCATGCAGCAGCACCAGCCGACTACTTTGAAACCTGACGTTGATCCAGCCAGTCGGAATGCAAAGATTAAATCGAATGCCCGAAAGTTACTGGACCAGCTTCAAGCTGCGGACACCAGCTTGGGTGACAGTGCAAGTAATCTTAAGGTACGCCTGCGGAAGTTTCTCCTCTGCTGTTCAGCTATTTCAATAGATCAATTTATATCTGATCCAACTGCCGCAGCTCTTGTTTGCAAAGCAAGCACTGCGGGCGCTGGCGGAGCGGCAGGCTGCGGCAGCAGCAGATGCACAGCAGCGGAAGCTGGACAAGCTGCAGGAGCGTCTCGTGGAGGAGCACAGGCGCCATCACCTACAGAGACACGAGTATGCTATTCAGGCGCAGCAACAGGCGGCGCTGGCACAGGCCCAGTTGCTGGCACGTCCCCCGATAATATTAGCCCCATCCTCCGCCCCCTCGCCGGTCCCGGTCGGGCATCCGCCCTCCCCCACAAAGACGGATAGGGGACGCTCTCCGTCACCTCGTCGCCATCGCAGCAGGTCATCCAGGAGGGGCGGCGGCCGCCGATCTCCATCACGACACTCCCCCTCACCCCCGACTCTTTCTTTGGAGGTGAGTTCTGGTCAGTTTCCGCCCGGCTGCCTCTCGACACCATTTGGGTCGTCAAGGGTATGGGCCCAGTAAGTCACAGCGATGCGTGGGACGGGAACGCGCAGGTAACCGGCGCAAACTTATTCAGCAAACCCATTTTTTTGCAAAAGCTTGCAAAACCCATTTTTTGTTCCTTCGCTACGTAGCGATTCGCAGTTGCAAATTTGGGTGCTTTGTTGCTCCGACATTTTTGCTGCAATTGATGGTTTCTATTTTTTTTGCGCGCGCATCTTCACGACCCAACTGTCAAGGAGAAAACGCTTACGTGTTGCGGCCTTTGTCCTACGATTTATTTTTCACCTTCTCCCGCCGGGCCAAAGTTGCTGCTGCTTTTTCCTCTGGACCGCGCCTCTTGGCCCTTTCTTGCCCTCCCTCTCCTTGATTTGCGAACTGGGTTTTTTTGCTTTACGTTTGTCGTCCACAGCCGTCGCGCAGCGGTGAAGAGTACGACAGCTTAAGCGGAGGATGCTCGTACGAAGGTGACGCGCAGCGCAACGATGCCGTACACGTTCGTGATACGCGTTCGCGCAGCTCATTGAGAAGCCGAGAGCGGCGCAGTGCAGCGGTGGCGGCGGCGGCGGCAGTGCAAGGCTCCCTGCGCTCGCGTGGCGGCGGCGACGGCAGCGCTGGCGGGAGCGGCTCGTACCGGGTGTCCCATCCCCGACACGCAGGCCCGACGGAGGCGGGGATTCGCGGCGCCGTGTCTGCCCAAGCGCTATCGGCGCTTCTGGCGGGCCTGCAGTCGCACGGCGTTAACTTGACTTCAGGCCCGCCGCCGGCGGCCGCAGCGCGGGTCAACACCACTGAAGGCGATGGGGCGAGTCAAGGTACTTTGGCATCACTGTCCCGAACGGGTGGCAGTGGCGGAGCGGCGGAGGAACCCCAGTACGTTTTGCTCCCTGACGGGAGCGTGGGTTTGGTCCACGCCATCGTGAAGCCTGCCGTACTCCAACCGCAGGTCCCGGCGCCAGGGCAGGCGCCGCCGCCGCCGCCCCATGCCCTGCCTTTGGTACTGCTGCAGCCCGCTGCGGGTGGGGGGGGTGCGCCTTCCGGTAGTGGCGGCGGCGCCACCGCCGCTATCGGTGCTGGGCCCGCCGCCGCCACAGTCGCGCCATGGCCAGGCTCGCAGTACGCTTACAGTGCCGGGGTGCCGCCGGTAGGCGTGCTGCCGGCGCCCTTCTATCCGCCCTCGCCCCTGGGAGGAATGTACGGCGTGCAGTACCCGTACCCGCCGCCGGCCCCGCTGTACAGCGTTGGAAGCTTCCCGCGGGGTCACCCGTTTCCGGTGTCGCCATCAGCCGCAGCATCAGGGCCGGCACCACCGCCGTCACCGGCCCTCTCGTACGTATCGCCGTACACCAACCAGGACAGCTACTTTTATGGCCATCATCAGCATCCGCCGACGCCATCGCATTTGCGGCAACACCCAAGTAATCAGGACCCGGCCCCTCCACCGCCGCTAGCGACGGCGGGTCCGGTGGGTCCGGCGGTTCGACTCCACGAGACGCATGCGCACCATCACATGCAACCGCATTATCGCCCCGACAGCTCCCCACCCGGTCCTGCCCGGGGTGCGCCGAACCACCTGGCGGCGGCGCCACATCATCATCTCCTCGGCAGGGACGTCGACGCGCGGTACTCAATCTCCTCTCTGTCCTCCGATCCGTACGGCGGCTCAGTGCTTATCAGCGGCCCCACGGATGACGGCGGCGGTGGCGGCGGCCACCGCGGCGGCGGCGGCGGCATCGTAGACATGCGAGGTCCAACACATCCGTCACCGCCACCGTCGGCGGCGGCGGCGGCGCAGCCGCCGTCGCCGTCGTCACCTCCACACCCGACGTCAAATTCTAGCACCATGACGATGCCGTCTTCCGGAGGTGCACCCGAGGCCGTGCAGGGAAACGTTCATGGTGGTAGCGGAGGTTACAGTGGCGGCCGCTACCACCATCGTCACAGCCATAGCGGCGCGGAGTCGCTTCGCTCGCTGCAGTCCAACGGCGGCGGCTCCGTACGCAGCGGCCGTCCGGGGTCAGCGGCGCCGTCGTCGCAACACTATGAGGCTACGCTGGCATCGCCATCGCCACGGGACAGCTTGCAGAATCTGGTAAGTTCCACTGCCAACTTCCAACCGCTCTCTTTCCAACCGCCATCCTAACCGTCAACCAACGGCCCTCTCCTCTCCCATATTCCCGTTCCACAGGACAGCCCAGCGTCATTCAGGGACATGCCGAGACGAACCTCGGGGTCTATAAATCTGTCACCCCTGCGCAACGGCACCGGCACGGGCGCTGGCGGCGGCGGCAGCGGCGGCCGCACCAGCAGCGGCGGCGCCGCCGCTGGCGGCAGCGGCCCTCGGCATCGCACCTCGCCGTTATTCCTCACTTCCCTCGGCGCCGCCGCTGGCAGTGGCGGCGGCGGCGGCGGCAGCGGATCTGATCCAAGCATGGCGGCCTTCGGCAGGTCCGGCTCGTCTGAATCGAGCGCAAGCGGATCTGTCGTACTGCGGGTAACAGCAGCCGGGTCAGTGTCGGCGCAGTTGCAGCCTGGCGTTGGCGGCGGCGTTGGCGGCGGCGTTATCAGCGAGCCTTCGGGCCTAGACTCCGTGACCGGTGGTGGCGAGGAGCCGTCGCTGCTACTGCGCACCTTGGATCTTGGATCGCCCTCCCAGCAGCGAAACAAGGTGCGTTTGGTGTTGTTCGTACACGCAGCGGTTGGGAGTTTTATCTGTACGGACGAAGTCGTTTCGTTGGGTGACATCGGTAATGCCAAGATTGTTAAGGGAGCGTTTAGGGAGCAAGAATGGCCGGGTTAGCATTATTTCTAACTCCTTGCTCTTCGAGTGAAACTCCTTCTGATTGCAAATTCTTCGATTGAAATTTTTCAAATGAAATTGTTCGAATGAAAATTCTTCGAATGAAACTTGCCCTTTGGGTTTCACTCTATTAATCCCTTCCTTGGTGCAGCTCGCGGAGGATCAATCTGAGACGCCAACAAGTCGCAAGCCCAGCCTCGCGAGCCCATGGAGCTCGTCAGGACCCTCCGATGCCGCCATAGGCGCCGGCAGTGGCCTTGGCGGGTACGGCGGCGGCGCCTCCGCCATCACTGCGTTCCCGACCACACGTGACTTGCTGGCCGACGTTTCGTCGCGGCCGCCCTTGTATGGCACGTCGCTACCGTACGGCACCGCCGGGCTATACGACCGTTACACTGCTGGGGGATTTTTCGGCGCCGCGGGGGGCCTGTACGGGCCGAGCCCCGTGTACGGTGCGCCGTCACCTGGCGGTGCCGGCGGCGGCGGCGGCGGCTTCGGTGGCTTTGATGTCGCCGGCGGCGGCGGCGGCGGTGGTGGTAACGGGGGCAGCGGCAGTCTAGGGGATCGCATTTCAACCGCTCCCGCCAGCGGAGCCGGCGGCGGGGCCATGGCGCCGCGCAGCCCAAGTTCGGATAGCCTTCGGAGCACGGGCCTGGGCATGCGGGCGTACGGCGGCGGTACGGCGCCCACTTCAGCGTCGGCTGCGGCGTCGGACTTGATGGGTACGAGCGCAGCGCTGGCGTTGACGGCGGCGATCCTGGAGGGCTCCGCCGCCAGCGCCGCCGCCACTTCCATCATCACAGGTTCTACTGTGGGCTTGTCGGCCGCGTCTGCTTATGTGGGTTGCTGGATTATGGATGCTCGGGAAACTCGTGTAATGGGTCTCTGTACGGAGAGGCAGGGAAATGCAGGGGCGGGGCCGTCGGCAGTCAGTTGTGGCCGCTGACTAACGGCCGTCGGTCGTTGCTGAGGCTGGTTGCCAGCAAAGCAGCAACGGCGCCATGGCGTGAATGGGTGCTGAGGTTACCGGTCAAGTGGTATGTCTATAACACACGTTTGTGCCACAAACGCTGTCGCTGGGAAGGCTGTAGCCTTTTTTGCAAATTCGCCCGGGTCGTGCGCCCGTTGTCTGCGTGACCCAACAGTAAGCAGTAGCAGCCGCCGCAGCCGCAGCCGCCGCCGCCGCAGCAGCAGCACAAGAGTGCGTGTTGCGATCCCATCCCCTCCTGCAATTCCCTTTTTTTTCCCCAGCCGCATTTCATGCTATACCTACACCGCGTACTGCGTAATGCATTGCTCCTCCGAAATGCTGTCGTTGTTGTTTGTTCCAACAGTCTCCCGCGATTCATTTCCGATAAGAGCTGCTACAACACCTGTGTACCCCGAAGTGCTGACTGTCGGTGCGTAATTCTCACCCATCGATATTTTTTTGGTAAATTTCTTATCATCTTTCATGTCAAGAAACGCATCGCTTTTGACACACCTCCGCAGGGCCTGGGTCAACTGGGGCTCAGCCACCTCCACCCCACCGCCACCGCAGCACCGTCCGCCGCTAACCCTAGTGTCAACTCCAGCGCAAGCGCCGCCGCGGCCGCGGCAGGCGGGAGTCACGGCGGTGCACCGCCGCTGCTGCCGCCGCCGCAGGGCCCAAGCGGCCTGGGCCGCACCGCAAGCGCTACCAGCCGTCGAGCTCGAGGCAGCGACAACGGCAGCGGCGGCGGGACCTCTGGCGGCGGCGCCGCCGTCGGGGGCGGCCCCGGTTCGGGCCAACAGGGCGCATCGGCCGCCAGTTCTGCTGCCGTGAATGCGGCCATTATGGCCCGACTGTCCCATGGGTCGAACCTGGAGGGCGTGAACTCCCCACGAACTCGCTCCAGGTGGGTTTCGAAGCGGGGTTGACCCATCTTAGTGTAGGTAGTTCTGGGCACAATGTGGGTAAAAATCAGGATGAGGAGCTCGGGGGTGAACATCTCCTGAGCCGGTGTGAGGAGGGCTCCAAACCCTAAACCCCTAAAAACCTAACCACACATTAGCTTTTCTTCTAATCGAGAGTCCGAACCTGGAAGCAACACGCCACGGGCTCACCCTGTTGTGTTCAATCTGTGTTCAATCTGTACGGCATGGCTGGCGATGCAGGGTGCAGCTGATGGGCAACGACGACCTGACCGATGTGCTATCCCAGCGCTCACTGAATCCGTCTTCTGGGGGCCACCTGCACCAGCAGCAGCAGCAGATTACGGCTGCAGTGATGGCAACGGCAGCGCAACTGACGGCGTCGACGAGCTCGTCGACGCGCCTCACTGCCGCCGCCCTGAACGCCCAGCAGCAGCACCTCCAGCAGCAGCAGAGCCAAGCATCGTCGGCACAGGCTTCGCCGTCGCGGTTCGGCAGCCGTACCACCGCCGCTGCCGCCGGCAGCGGGCCCAGCACTGGCGTCGCCGGCGTAACGGATATCGGTGGGCTACAGCCCACGGTGCCGATGCTGCAGCTGCCGTCGCGTGCGACGTCGCGGATGCTTCTCGGGGCCGTGGGGGCGGCGCCGCCGCCACCTGGCGGCGCCGTAAGCGGCCAAAGCTCCGAAACTGCCAGCCCGACGAGGATAGATTACCCGGGGCTGAGCGATGCGGAGCAGAGCATGAGCGCGCGGAGCGGCAGGTCGGCCGTGTCGGAGGGTGTAGCGGCTTCCGGGATCGCTACTGCCACCTCAATCTCCTCTGCAGAACGTGTGTCTGGGGTGCCAGTGGTGGAACACCGCGATGGCGGCCTGGACCCGGCGTCGTACTCGGGCGTCATTCAGGCCATTGACGCCTTGACGGCGGCCAGCACTGGCGGAGCCGGCGGTTACGGCGGCGGCGGCGCGGCGGCGCCTGCAGTAGCGGCGGTAGCGCCGCAGGCTCAGCCACCGCAGCCAGGGCTGCCGCCACTGCTGGAGCTTCTGAACAACAGCCCTTTTTCTGTTTCGGCGTCCCCGCCGGGCAGCGCCGGCCCGTCGCCGCTGGGGTTCGGGGGCGGCAGCACGCCACTTCTGCGTTCCGTTGACTCATTCGTACGTATCGGCAGCATGCCGCTCTCCGGCGCCGCTTCGCCAATGGCCACCGGCAACCCTATTGAATTTTTGGGATCTCCGACGAAGCAACCTCAGCTGCACGGCGTCGGCGGAGGCAATCGCGGCAGCAGTGGCGGCGCCAGCACCGCCGGCGGCGCCGCCAACGGGCGCGGCGCATCGTCTGGGACGGTGGTGAGTGCAGTCGTGCCGCAAATGCCGCCGGCGGCGGCGGCGGCGACACTGGCACCGCCGCAACACCATCAGCCCATAACGCCGTCGGGTAATCCGCCACCGCCGCCGCCGCAACCATCACAGCAGCAGCAGCAACAACTAACCGGTGCATCGTTTCGGATGAGTACGGGGGTCCCGGGTACCGGCTCACAGGCCGCAAGCATGGCAGGCGGCTTCGCCTCCCCTTCTGCCGTTGCAGCGGCGGCGGCGACGGCGGCGGCCGGGGCTACTCGAACCCCCACCTCTCATGCCTTGGCGGCGGCGGCGGCGGCTACGGCACCAGCTCTCAGCTCCTTGGCCTCAGCCGGCAGTGCCAAAGTGCTGTCACCCACGTCGAGTAAAGGAGCGCGGCTGCCAGTGGCAGCATCGGTAACGCTGCCAGCGTCTCCGTTGCAACGCGGGGGCGGCGGCGGCGGCGCCACCGCCAGCGGCGCCGCCGGCCGTACCGGCACCACAGCGCTCTTGAACCGGGTTTTGGGGGGCCGCGGGGAGTTCGACTCGGACGATGACGACGGCGACGCCGTTGGTGGCACCATATCGTTCACCTCATCGCCTGGCCGGGCCCCGGTCGGTTTGCCGCCACGGGGGGGTGGTCTGGTTTCCGCGAACCTCGGCGGCGGCGGCGGTGGCGGCGGCGGCGGTGGTGGTGCTGGCACACAGACAGGGCTGCGCGCTAGCGGTGTGTCCGCGGCGTCAGGGCGAGGCACTCTTACCGGGAGCAACTCCGCGCATGATGACGAGTTCAACTTTTGACCCGTTGCAATTTTTATGCCTTGTTGTCATTTCCTCCCTCCCTCCCCTCCCTCTCCCATCCCTTTGATTTTTAGTCACCAAGATCATTGAATTTTTCGCCCTTTGCCCTCCTCGACCGTCCTACTCCATGTCCCGTAGTGTGGGGCACGTGAAGCTCTCAGGACGCCCTGCGCATTTAGCTGTGTGTGTATGTGTGTGTACGTATGTATGTGTGTGTGCGTATGTGTGTGTATGTATGTGTATATGTGTGTACGTGTGTGAATCCTCGAATTGCCGTACTGAACAACGATGACCGCTTGGCACCCTACATAGCCAGACTTATTCTTGACCATTATCACGCTTGTTGTACAAGTACTGAAACGTACACGTTGTACATTAGGTACGGTACGGATGAAATTCTTGGGCTGCTGATGTGGTCTTGTGGGCCTTGGTGCCTGCAGTGCCTGCAGCCCAGGGCTTCCAGTCGATTGGGCTGTTCGTCTGTTTGTGCCTGTCCAGGGAGTGGACTGCTGCTTGGAAGGAGGTTCGGACTTTGGCCGTTTTAGGACTTTTTAGGACGATTTGCATATCATTTACCTCTGTCTGGTTTACCCTTGTCGGGACTGTGAAACGCGGCGACTGTTCTTGTGTTTCATCGTACATTCATGCCTGAGGACCACCATGAGGACGCGACTTATGGAAGTGCTTAGGCGCTGCTGCTGGTGCCGGCGCTGTTGCCGGCGCTGGTGCTCGAATTAATTAAGTGGGCTTTTAATTATCCACCACTGGCGAAGATTTACAAAAGTCGTGATTTTGTGAGGACAGTTCATGATAGTAAAAAGTTTGCGAATACGGCGCCGAATGTGGTGTTGTACGATACGACAATGGGAGTCATTATACGTGATGTTTGTCAGGGGGGGGGTTGGTGAGATACGGCCGCGGCGTGTATGTACGCTGTATGTACGTCTGTTGTGAGTACGAGTTAGAGAGAAGTTTTGCTTCTTGACGGGTACCGAGAAGCCAGGAGAACAGGTTTGAGCACACGGGCCATTTGAACTTGTCTGAAGTGTTTGGTGTGGTGATGGTGTGGTGTGGTAAGGATACTGGTGGCGATGCTGGCAGTAGTGATAGTGATAGTGGCGGCTCTGCGGCCATCTCGGGAGGGGAAGACGGCGGCGGCTGTAGCAGCGGCAATATCGTGTTTTAACACGGATTAGATTGTTAAATGTTTACCTACTTTATCAGGAAACAGCGATAAGGCAAGCTCTGGAGGACGGGTGGCAGCCAGAACCTTATTACTACACGCCGCGCGATTGCGAGCGACGAATCGTAATTCTTTTCTCGTTCTGGCGGCTGCTTTCCAGTGCTGCCGCCCTGTTGGGCTTTCTTCCCACTTGTGTGGGAAGGCTGGCGTGCTGCGCTATACACCCTCGTCCATTTACATATGTGCACATCCTCCCACATGTGCACGGGCACCCCTGGGTGCGTGCATGGGGGGTTTTGCGTTTTTGCATGGAGTTTTGCGTCCCTGCTGCTCCACCCCGCACTCCCCATCTTGAGGGTGTCCCCTGGGGACCAAGGTTCCGGAGGGGCGGGGCCCCGGCGGCTTATCTGTACCTTGGACGATGTGCATGGACGAGGCGTCGGCCTGTTGGGCGGGCGGCTGATCTGCTAGCCGGTATTGTTCTACAACAGTGAAACGTGCTGGCGTCAGCGGCGGCGGCGGTAAGGGGGGACACAAGAAGGTGATTTGTTACCTGAAGGACAACAACCCAGTGGCGACGGCCAAAAGTGGCAGCGGGCAGTTATGGTGGTGATAGTGGTGGCCGGTGATGGGCCCGATGGCTAGGGCTGAGAAGTTGGCGGCAAGCCCAACCTTGTAGGAGCTCAAGTATGATGACAACAATTCATGTTAAGCTCGGTGTTTGTGCGGGTGCGGTAGTGGGTGTGATGGTGGTGGTGGTGGTGGTGGTGGTGGCGGTGGTGGTGGCGGTGGTGGTGGTGATGGTGGTGGTGGTGGTGATTAGGATAGGGATGGGGGGATGGTGGTGGGTGAATGAAGGAAAACGGTCCCGTATTGGGTCAAAGGGCAATATCCGGAAACAGATTCCAGAAGACCGTTAGCAGAACTGTCGGTGAAGGCGAGACACAAGGACAGGGGAAAGGAGGGAAGGGAGGCGGGAAACACGCTGGCGGCTGAGCGCAATGTGAACTGTGGCTGTCGGGCGCAGGCTGGGCAGGGGGGGAGGTCGGGATGCTCGTCGGGCGTTCTTGCGAGCTGGAACTCCCCATGCCATAAGCCCCACCCTGCCGCTAGCTTCCCAAGGGGTTTAGCTCGCCTAGGTGGCAGAGGGCAGAGGTGCACCTACCTGCCAGGCTCAGGAGCTACAGGCGCAACAGGTCTCGCGGCTTACACAATACCTGTAGCAAAGCGAATGGCGGATGGAGGCCGGTGGGTGCTGCCCCCGGCGTGACGGTTGACGATAGAAGTGAACTGGGTATGACGTGCGTGATCGCTTTAGGGTGATAAAAAAGTTCAGCGTTTTTGGAGGAATTCCGAGATTGACATTCGGCATCGACAGTGTGCCGTCGACAGTGGGCTTAAGTTGCACCGCTGTGCATGGGCGTAGGGGTATGGAGGTTTAGTAAATAACGGGGACGGAGAGAAAGGTCGCAATAAAGCCGCAGCGGCATTGCTGTGGGATGTGCTGCTGGTGGTGCCTGCTGGGTGTTATATGGCAAGTAGAAACGGATGCGTACACCCCGGGGCGTGGTGGTGGTTTTCCTTGAACGGAAATTTGTGTCCATACAGGACGTTTTTGTTATCTTTATGGTCGTTATTATAATCGTAGAAGCGTCGACTTTGTATTCGCTTTGGGCCTGTTTCCATTGGCCTTTTAGCGTCCACCTTTTAGGGTCTGCTGAGAAACCGTGACGTAGGCTAAAATGTTTGCTAAAAGTCGACTAAAAGCTGCATTGTTTCAATTCGTCGCCCTTAAGCAGTTGATTTCAGCGGGTACTTCGCCCTGTTGAAGCTGTTTGCCGAAACAGCTTCAACAGGGCAAAGTAACAGCTGAAATAATATCCTATACTTGTACATAATAACTAGCAGCCTAGCACCTGTCCAAATGCTTCCACACCGACGCAGACAACCGCTAGCGGTCCTGACCTCCGCACTTGCAGGCTTAGCTATTGTCCAACTGAAATATGCTGCCTCTAAGCATATCATAGATTAAACTTTCCGTGTGCGCAAGGCGTTGAATTATAGTCCGCTAGATAGTGATTTCCCCGACAATCTATCAGCTCATCTTATTTTGAAACAAAAATCAAACAAAAATCAAAGAATACTCAAACAATTCTGGTTGATTATTGATTCCTGCGCGGCTCGAACAATGCAACCTTCCTTTCGCGCTGGCCAAGATATCGGAGGGTGCGCGTAAGCCTAAGTTTCCCTCGGATATTTATTTTGGCTAGTTATTACCAACACAGAAGGTCCGGAATTACAATTTGTACATCATGACCAGCCGTTGTCTCACATGCTTTCGATAAGTTCGTACCCTTGAACAATGTACCTGGTCGCGACCGGTTGTAAAAAAGGTCAATGGCACCTGCATGTAAAGGATGATCCAGCGATGGTGCAACTGCACTTCCGACAAGCTTTTTTTCCTCTGTTGGACGAGCAAACGCGAAACTTAAGGCAGGTTTGCAGTCAGGATCTAAACAGCCACATAAATGCATAAAGAATTGACAATTGGTGTTCATGCACATATAACATTACCACTTTGCATTTGTCCTCAGTAAATTGCCGATTAGCTGAGCTCCTAAACTGCAACAGAAGTCTTGTTTTTAACCACTGGAAAACCTGACGCCCATTACAATTCATCTCCTTCGCTGTTCTATAGCTGCCATATAGGGTATTAGAAGCCGGCCTCGACTCGGAGTCTTGCAGCTGCGCATCGAAAGCCCCTTTTAATAATGAATGAAGCAGAGATGAAGCTCATACCGGAGACCAGGAAAAGCCCCCCGCGGCTTATTGTACCTTCGCAAGAACCTGTTGGCGACGATTACCTGTTTTCACCTGGAGTTGAGACCCCAGGCCACCGACTAGCAGGAAAGGTATGGCGACGCTAGGCGTTGTCATAAAATGCCGCTGTTGACCCTGGTGTGTGGAAACTATTTATGGCAGCAGCACCGCGTCTTGCAGCATAAGAAGCGCGTTGAAGGCTGTTTAGCTGTCCGGAAGAGACTAATGTCTGGTCTCATCACAAGGGCTTCCGGCCGTCACGGACCCCCGGATACCTCAGCTTTTCAGCCCCGCGTGCCGCCCGCTGCGTTATGCAGGGTTTCAAGGATGGACCTTCGGTGCCAACGCAGCAACAGCAACAATTTCAACACCACCAACAACAAGAGATTGCCGCCGATTCTCCGCGGCGTTCGCCGGGCTGTTTCTTTTGCCTAAAACCTCGATAGGAGGCCGGTCGGGAGGGGCAACGCGCGGGGCAACATGCGCGCGCGTACTACGGGTCTCCTCCCCCTTGCGTGACCGGGAAGAAATCGCTTTCCCGCGTCCTCCTGGCCGTGAGACCTGTCATCGTAACAAGGAGATGTGGACCGACATGGTAGAGGCATGGTAGTGGTCGGCGTCGCGGTTGTCGCACCTGAAAAGGAAAATCTGGCCTGACCACTTCACGACCGTGATAGTGAAGACAAAGATGCAAAAGGAAGAGGGCTTCAAGGGGGAAAGAGTTCGCCGATGTGCCGACAGGAAAGACGACCTTTCTATTTTTTTCCTTTTTTTAATTGGAAGGGATACCTTGGACGGGATGCAGGCATGCAGACCCGAACAGAAACGCCGGGAAGCGAGCCCAAGCGAGCTGCAACAGTTCCTATTAGATGGGACGCTACACATAAGCCTGATATGTCATCCGACGTGACGGTGCCCGGTATGTAGCTGCTGCGGTTGCGTAATCCCCGTTGCGTTGTCGCGGTCGGCAAAGGACAGTTCCATCCGAACCCCCGTGGCTTGCATTGCTACGATCGAAGTCCGCAATTTTGGCGTTTCCCTTGACCGTGTCTTTCTGCCCTCGCTGCCATAATGACCTCCATTGTTGATTAAATAAATCATGAGCATTATCATGATTATCAACGGAGCTGTGAATAGCAAATTGACAGGAGGACGTTATCAGAACCCTATGGGCCATTCTGACTGGTAGGGCAGGCAACGGAGCAGCAAGAGGAAAGGAGGGAAGGGGAAGGAAGGCAATTCCTTTGCCCTTTGATGCAAGCTTGGTCTTGTAGAGTTGGTTTTATCCTGGCCAAGGAGAGCAAGTGGACAGCATCATTACGCGGGAGGGAGAGAAGGGGAAGAGGAAGGACATCCTTGGCATGCTGGCATTTTTGCTTGCGTCCATACACGTATATGGGCGTCCATGCTGTTTTTCTTTCCCTCTTTATTCCTTGCTTCAACCTGGGTTGCTCACGTCCGGCCTAAGATATTTGGGCAGCAAATTCAACAGGTTCCGGTGTGATCGGAAGACGCGGGAGCTGCGTGCGCCGAATGAGAATCAATGCAAACGCGTTTACACGCACGCGCCCACACTTGCATGATTGAAATATCCTGCAACTCGTTGTAATACCGGAATTATACCGAATCCAAAAAATCGACTTGTTGTGGTGTATCTAATGCGATAAAAATGAGGACGCGCGTATGATTTGTTGATCACAGTACTTGAGATTTGGAGCTAATTGTTTTGGCGGAGTAGGAGGGAAGGCGTGTTTTGGGGAGGGGATGTCCCGAAGGCGATCTGTGGTTTGAACATACCCGGTTCGGTCTTCCAGTAAAATATCTTGAGGCTTGCTTCTGCTTGCCGGTCTCTGCCGCTCTATGTTCTTTGTATATCGTTACCATCGTCACCTGCCGCCGCCGAAGCCCTAGTACGGCAGCAGTGGCAACATTTGCCAAAGGTTGACCTGACTGGTGAATGAACAATGTACGGCACCTTGTCCATGCCAATATGCTCCTCGTTAGCACTGTGAACGGCAAGAGACGGCGAATTTCGGATGTATTGCTCGATGTCGAGTTTCGACTTGTTGCGACGGCGCTGGATCATTATTCCTCAGGTGCATTGGTCTTAAGACGATTGAAGAGAGATTCACAATGCAACAGTCTGTACAACAAGACCGTGTACGACACTAAGTCCACTCACCCAAACTGTGGTCACGAGATGACGTATGGCAGTACGAACCTTTTATCTCGTATCGGTGACTGGGCTGATCAAGAGCGGCGGTCCGGTACGATTCGGTTGGTACGACGTGTCAGTTGTGGTATTGGTGCGCATGACTCGGAGAGGACGTGCATGTGGGTGTGCGTTGTCCTGCTTACACTGTGTAATAAGAGCAGCTTGTTGGGGATGACAATGCCTGGGTGATCTTGAGGAGTTGGATAGAGGTTGGGGCAGAGCCTTTGCCGGTTATCACGGGCAAAAGAGAGTACGGAAGCCATGGAGGATACGGCAGTGGCAATCCCTCTCTGCCCACAAAATGAAGTGTTGGAGGGGGAAAGAGTTCAAAGAGGAGTGGTGCACGCGGGCGTGATCACGAGGAAGCTGTGTCGTAATGTACGACGGACAATGTACGAATAGGTCAGGTGCGATCTGGGTCATGTCAATTGATATCGTTTTAGTTTTCTCTGTGTGGAGAGTCGACTCCCGTTTGTGTGTTGTTGGGCGGGATTATGTTTCGGTGGCGTTGATCGGGTCGACGAAATGGCGCCAGTCAGACAGATAGACAGACAGATAGGCGGTGAGCGAGAGAGAGAGTGAAGGTGCCAGAGACGAAACTAAACGAGTGGGGAAGTTGGGGAGCGGATATAGGGAATATGGGTTGTTAAGGTTAAGCTGTGCGTGACCTTTCTTGCATATTTCGATCATGCTGGCATTCCATTTTGTTACAACTCCATCATCAAGTCGTTCTTCCACTGACATCAGCCGGTATTAGTGGTATAGGAGGAACCGTACAGTCATTTAATATGTGCTTTGTACGGAATATTTAACATATTTTACCAATGCAATACCAAATTTCTTTCCGTAACACAACCATAGCTAGTAACCAACACTGCCGCGGCCGCCATTCCCTGTTAATATAAAATTGACTTGAAAGTACTTCAATATGTGTGTTTTCTGTCTCTTCTGTTTCCCACTGCAGTGCCCACGGCGGTCCGTTGTGGCTCTCGCGATGGGCCCTCTACCACCCTGCTCTAGGGGATTTCCTTGGAGTCTGGAGCTCTCGCGGTAATACCTACTACTGCTACTGCTACTGCTACTTCCACAAGCAAACAACGACCTGATGCGGGTTCCTCACACGCACCATCCTGCGGGTTCCTCCAGCAGCTCACCGCAACTACATACTGCACATGAACTCCAGAGAAATCCACCGGGTTCCCAGGATGACCTACCACCCGCACGAACCGGTTCAAATGCACAAAACACACACAAACACACACAAACACACACATACACACACAAACACACACAAACACACCAAAACACACAAAAACACACAAAAACACAGAAAGACCCTCAAGAACGCTCTCCACGTCTCGTCGCACCCGAAAAAAGTCTACGCACGGACAGACAGACATACATGTACAGGCTCGCGCAGCACGTCCATGTAAGCCATATGGATATGTACCCCCTTTCAGGTGTTTGTGCCCAGCGAACAGAGAAAACTTGGCATAGACGGTGCTTTGTCCACCACCCCATATGAACATGTCCACCACGATATGTCTCCCATCCGCGTCGCGCACCTCTGTCCCCCACCCACCAGCCTTCCTCCGCCACAATCGGAAATGGCGATATCCAGGTCCCCTGTGAATGAGTATTCCTCCTCCGGTCAGCCTCACTCACCACCACCAGAATTACCGTAAATCGTCGCCGCAGCATTTACAATCAAAATTTCACCATTGCACCCACACCACAACTTCACCCCGTCAACCTCACTGTCAACACCACCTGACTCTTCGCCCCTGACTCACACGTGCGCATCCACAGCTACAGCCTACCGCCAATCATTGACGAGCAGCTGTTGTCCGGGTTTCGTATCTCGGCCAACCTTGGTTGCATCTCGCGTGGCCATGTATGTATGTCCTGTCCTGCCAAGCAGATGGACAGCGCCTTGGGGCACTGTGGTGAACATCGTCAGGTGCCTGTCGCCTGCCTATACACATGTGCTTGGAGCAGCAACCAGCAACAACCTTGGCCCCCCCACGCGCTCCGAAACATGTGCCCCTAGCAGCTGCTGGTCCCAGCTGCGGCCAGCCCTACCTTGGGGTAAAACTTCCCAAGCTCTTCCACAATCACACTGATGCCGCCATAGTCGGTTTTATTAAGACCGCTACTGCTACTGCCATTACTGGAACGACCGCGACCGTTGTTGTTCCTGCTACTGCTGCTATATATTATTTATTGTCTCCCACGCAGTGCTGCTAAGGGGTGTCACGCCAAAACATCTGAAGCGCACAAATTATGTGCCACGACCGAGTTAGCCGCTATCCGCAGGTGGTGTGAGCCATCCGCATTTCTTGTGTCTGTTAGCACGTCATATGGCCTGACAGGGGCCATCGCAAACGTTGTGACTACTTTGTAGGCGCCCTGCTGCTACACATCCACAGATCGTGAGCGAGCACGCGGCGGAAAATTATACTAGAATTTTGTGCGAAAGATAGATGGATGTAAAAAAAAGGAAGAGTACGGGCGGGCACTAACAGGAAAACGAACGAGGATGCCGGAAGGCGCGCACGTGCAGCGGCCGCACCCGTCATCAAAACACTCTGACCTACAGCCCAGCAGCAAACAACCAGAGTACTTGCAAGGTGTCAAAAAAGAGAGTGCGCCTGGTGACTTAGGTGCTCATATGGAAGACCCATTGCAGGATTTTCCTCCCCAACACCGCCCCAGTTAACAGTTGAATACTCACAAAGGAAAACACACAAAAGAAAGATAAGCTTTTCAAGTCTTCCCCTATGCCTCCAAAAAGCAGTGCTAGTGGTCTACAATGGTGATATGTCCGGATCCAACGTAAAAAGATTAACTAATCTGGCAAAAAGTATAAGAGGCACACCGATACAAGAAACACAGAGAATAGAGGGAAAATGACCCATGGGTCCGGTAATTTTGCAGGGCTCGCAGCTTATCATCATCAAAATTCCAACCTGTCTATTACATGCCGGTCCAGTAACTCTACGCTATTAGGCAAATGTTACAATTGTTACTTTTTGATGTTTTTTTCTTAGCACTTCAAACAGTTTCGTGCAATGACGTACACGTGTCGTACTCACGGCACGTCAAGTGGGCTTGAGAGGCTGTTGACGGGGCCAACCAAAGTTTCGTAAATTGTCAGAAGCTGTTCCAGAGCCCTTGCCTTCACGTTCATATCTCCGCTGCATGGAACTGCGGGGCGAACACGGAGGGGGCGGCCTGGAGCTGCAGATGAGGTACTGACACATCGTAACGGGCGTTGGTAGCTTATAACTTGGTGTCAGTTAAAACCCTTCCAAGCATGTCGCGGGGAATAAAGCAGCAGGAAGTGATTTAAACGCCAGCGTTTCAAGCTTAACAGCTCATTGGCGGAAACAAAAGCTAAATTGCTTTATTAGACCGCTCCATACGTGTGTATGTATGTATGTGTGGTACACCTCGGTGCGGGCTGGACCGTCGTACTTACCATGGAAGTGGTACCATTTCCTCACGTGTACAGCAGCGCATGTGGTGTTGGGTACCCGGTATAGCTTTTTGCCTTTCTCGCCAAGCCTCACACCGTCCGTGTCGCACCCGCAGGGCCCCTGGGGTTTGGGGGCAAAGGAGGGGCAGGGGGGAAATGAACGGGAGGTGGATGTCCATTAAGCGGAGGATTGATCTAGGATGGAGATTGATCTAGAATGACGAGGGGCCTCTGTTTGTGGGCTATAGCTAGCAGCAGCAATCGTCGAGGAAGCGCAACCCAGCACAGCCGGCAAAAGCACGTCGCAGTGCGCTGTCGTACCATGCAGCGATGAGGGAAGTGGTCTGGAACCAGCATCCCCAAAGACAAGTGCTGTGGCAAGGGAGGAGAGGGGGAGAGGGGAGGGGAGGTGTTTGCGTCATCCTTAGGAAGGGTGTGGTCGTTTGTTAAGAGTATAGAGGAAGAGCAAGAAGGGGGGGCTGAAGGTAAGAAGCATTGGCGCAGCATTGTCAGTCAGACAGACAGACAGACAGACAGACAGGGTTAGGGTTGCAAGGAACGACAACAGTCGCGGGTGTTCCGGAGGGCGAGGCCCCATCACGGGATAGGTCCTTACCCGACATAGTAGTTCTTAATGTTCTCTCCTTCTTGCCGGGAAGGGCACACACGCTTGTAACGCTTGTAACGCCTTCACCGACCGAAGGAGCTACGTGGCCACCTTACCCCCTCACCCAAAAACCACACCTTCACCCACAAGAACACGCACCTCCACCCCCACAGGCACGCTGGTTCGCTCCATGACGCCCCCGAAGGAGCTCTGGTCCAACATGGGGGACATGTCCTTCGCCCTGTTGGCCAGGAACGCCAGCCACTGCATGACAGCCCGGGTCACCATGGCCGTCGCTCGAAAGTAGATCAAGCCTGCGCATGGTGCGAAGCAAGGAAACATCGCTGGCTTTAGCATACATACATATATTTCACACGGGAAGCCTACGTACGCGGCACGTTGGCATTGAGAATTAGTACAGGAGTATCAGCGCTTAGTGCGCAAGGACACATGCTACAAGGCATTGAAGGTCGTTCATTTTCCCGACATCCTGGTGGTAGGAGTCCTAATCCTGGCGCTGGCCTATTCACACGAGCTACTTTGCTAGGGACAGGGAAGTCCCCTTCCAGAAGCGCCAGACGGTAATTTCCCTTTGAATTTATACAACGGAAAAATGCAGACAGGTCCGCAATCTACGGGTCGATAGGGGATGCGGGATGGAATGGTTACCTTACCCGGATGCCCCGCATGTCCACACGCACATGCAACCGCAACTGCAACAGCACATGCAACTGCAACTGCAATTGCAACCGCAACCGCAACCGCAACTGCAACCGCAACTGCACATGCAACTGCAACAGCACATGCAACTGCAACTGCAACTGCAACTGCGCCGCAACTGCACATGCACATGCAACTGCAACTGCAACTGCAACTGCGCCGCAACTGCACATGCACATGCACATGCAACTGCAACTGCAACTGCGCCGCAACTGCACATGCACATGCACATGCAACTGCAACTGCGCCGCAACTGCCCATGCACATGCAACTGCAACTGCAACTGCAACTGCGCCGCAACTGCACATGCAACTGCAACTGCAACTGCAACTGCAACTGCAACTGCAACTGCAACTGCAACTGCAACAGCACATGCAACTGCAACTGCAACTGCAACCGCAACCGCAACTGCAACTGCACATGCAACTGCAACTGCAACTGCGCCGCAACTGCACATGCACATGCAACTGCAACTGCAACTGCGCCGCAACTGCACATGCAACTGCAACTGCACATGCAACTGCAACTTCCCACATGCACATCGGCTCCACAAGCAGCTCCGTATTCAGACGCAGACCAACCTCTCCCCCCCCCACACACATACATATATACATGCATACATGCATACATACATACCTATGTTGCTGTTAATCTTGGGGAACTGCACTGCGGGCGTTACGTCGTCTCGTGCACCGCAGTCCCCCGTCACCAGTATGTCAATGTCGCGAGCCACAATGTACGGCAGCGGGTTCCGGAAGAAGACCTGCGGCTCCGCCAATCCATCCATTCACACATCCCCGCGAGCCCAAAAGCAGCCCGGCCGTGTGGTAATTGGGTGGCCAAGGGAGGGAGGCAAGCACTGCTGAATTCTGTGAACCTTACGTGGTGAAAAAAAGCCCCGTGCACAGCCCGGTAACGTTAAGAAGAGAGATGGTGGATAGGCAAGTGGCCGGAAGGAGTGGGGCACGGCGGGGTGGGTAGGGCATGGGCAATTGACGTGAAAATGACGGGAATGAAGTGCAGCGAAGAGAAGGCCGCAAGCGAATGATGGGGCAGCAACATCGCTGCTCCCACCTGCTGTCCCCCTCACCGCTGTAGATCTGATCTACAGCGCAGCTATGCATCCCGTACCATTACCATCTCCACCGACATGCCCCCAATGCTAGTGCTCATTTTGTAATTTCCTTAGCCATAACAACAACAACAACAACCGGGAGTCGCCCTGCCCATACTTAACATGCCGTACGACCGTACCGTACCACTCTACCGCCATACCACTCTACCACTCTACCGCCGTACCACTCTACCACTCTACCGCCGTACCACTCTACCACTCTACCGCCGTATCGTTAACCGTACATACGTACCTGGTCACCATCAAGTACCAGCACGTGCACTCCAAGGCTCAGGGCGTCGAGGATGGTCAGCACTTTGGCGAAGCTGAGGCCATAGAACGCCAGCGACTTGTAATCAAAACTGCCGTACATGTATGTCCGGTGTACGACACATGGGAACAAAGCGCACACCACAGAGAGGGGAGACTCAATGGGCGTACGGAGGTAGGGAATACGGCGGACGGTACGGCCCCCAGTGCCTTAACAAAAGACACATTCTGGTTAAGCAGGAGAGCAATAATGACCGACGGACATCCTGTCACCCGTTCAAAACTCATCCTCACACCCACTGCTGCCCACACCTCACCATTCTTATCTAGAACATATTCCCAGAGCGTTCATGGCTACAGCCTGATGCGCGACTTCACACATCCGTGTTTTTCTGCATCCCAGCTACCGCGTAGCGCAGTAAAAGTCATTACCACACAAAAATCTACTGTTAACGTGCTGCTAAGCTGCTGGACTGGAGAACATGTTTGGAGAACTTACTTCTCCATGCCGAAGATAGAGCTCGTCATGGCGACGCATCTGGCACCGTAGGGTTTGGACATTTCATTGCATTTGTCTGTGCTGGACCTCTTACTCGACATCACATTCGCCACAAGGTGGTTTGCCAAATGGTCCTATGGGGGTGTGAGGGAGTGAGAAAGGGAGTGGTCGCTTAATTGGTCGATCTTATGCAGGTGGCGTAGGAAGCCGCTGTACGATGAGTACAGCATAGATGCAGTACGTCATGTACGACACAGGGTAAGGTGAGGAGTATATAATCGGTCGACAGGGAGTTGTCTCTGGGTGGACCTGTGGACCCCTGACGATAGGAGTTGTTGTTGTTGTTGCTGTTGTTGTTGTTGCTGTTTCTGTTGCTGTTACAGCGGCGGGCAGCTACCCAGCTTCTAAGCCTGGGAGAAAAAAGAGGTCGCGGTCACGTGCTACCCCACCCGTGTCTACCCCAACCTACCCCTGCAGGCCCAAACGCACGCTCGCCCCCTTCCCCTCCCCCTTCCCCCCGCCCACCTACCTGCGTCCCATCTCTCCTGTTGAATGTGATATTCCTGAGATTGCTCAGAAAGATGTTCCACAGTCCAGCTCCTCCAAATGAAAACTCACTCACGAGGGACAGGATCACGAGCCGCCTCAGCCGGTTTTGACCGTCAATCACCCCCAAGCTAGCTGCCTGCAGATTGGTATCATTTGGAAATTTGAAAACAAAAGCCGTGAATTTATTGTTTTAACTTTGTCATGCCCCATACATATGTTTGGGTCTATTATGCGAGTTCTCCCAGGAAGGCCGGCACGGCGAACCGCTGCACGCGTAGGTGGGCGACCCTGAAGAAGACGCGCCGGGTGGGTGATGAAAACAGGTTAACAAAGGGATTACTAATTTTAGTGATGATTGTGTACGGCACGGTGGTACACGGGGATCTTTGCGGCAGCGCGGATCGCCGCAGCACGCACCTACCCGGTGAGGTGCCGGGGGTTGTGTAGCGGTTTGACGGGGGTGTAGACGCAAGGCGAGGGTGGATAAAGCGCATGACATAAACCAGTACAGTTCTCTGATGTGTGTGTTTGCGCGCGCGTGTGTGTATGTGTGTGTGCGTTTGTGTGCGTGTGTGTGCGTGTGTGTGCGTGTGTGCGCGTGTGTGTATGTATATGTGTGTGTGTTTATGTGTGAACGTTACAAGTATCTGACGGGGCCTGACACTGGCCAGGGACTGCTGCCCAGCCCCAACGGAAAGACCGCCTAAGCTCTCTCTCCCCCGCGGACGGGAGAGGGGCGCTAGAGGGGCCTCTGCCCCCTCCTAAGCAGCCGAGAGCCGCAGGTCCGTTAGTTCCGGGAGGAGAGCGGAACTAACGGAGCAGGCATCGCACGCGCACATGCTCTCACGAGTCAAGGCTCTGCCACGCGATTGTGCATGTGTGTGTGTGCATGTGTGTGCATGTTCCGTATGTTACAAGTTACAAGTTCTGCACAAGTGCGGGGGTGTCCGTAAAAGCCGGGGGAGCCATATCTAGTCCGTATAATTGTTGGTCCATGAGGGGGCGGTGGGAGCAGAAAAAGATGGGCGAAAAGGGGGAAGGGGGCTCGCACTCAGAAAAAGAGATAAGCAGGACGGGCAGGGAGTAGCGGAAATGGATAGTTGCAAAGCGGGAAGGGACGTGGAGGACGGGAGCAAAGGAGTAATGGTGGGGGAGGGCGCGACGGGGCAACAGCTCGTTGTGCACGGGAGATATGTAAGAGGCGGAAAGGATGGCGGTCCTACGTTCGGGATAGGTTGTCCAGCTGGAGCTCTGAATGTGCGTCTCATCGCGCAAGGTGCAAGCTCGTTCGTTCCCGTCGCACGCCTTGTACGGGGGCCTTACCTGCACAGCCTCGACAAACTCCCTAGTAGGCAAGCGCGCTCCCATATCTGCCCAGAAGTCTTGAACGAACGCATTGTCAAAAGGCAAGCGCGATCCATCTCGTCCTTCTGCTTCTACGGCCCAGACGAACCGTGCAGTAGCCAGCCAGACCAACAGCCATGCGGCCGCAGACTTCTCTATACGCCGCGATGGCATGAAATAGTGCTTTAATATGATCGATGTCTCATGTAACTCCAAACCTAATGTTGACAAGGCGCCTTATGACTATGCTTCCGGCTCACATCTACGAGCAGTGCAAGGGACCAGGCAACGATCACAGGTTCACTTGGCCGTTTTGTATGAGTAAAAGATATGCTACTATGTTTATGAGGGCATTTACATTAATCAGTCAGGCTTTATTGGTGTTGGTTAGGAATTCGTCCTTCAGGAAGCACGATGCAGCTCTGTCGCCATTCCAGCAAGTATAACTTGTATCAACTTCGACAAAGTATAATCCTCCAGAGTATTTTCACAAACTACTTTACTTGACGACTCACCCGCGCAACAGTCTAAAACTTATCACTGCTAGGCCCCTCGTACACCAGATGTCCCTACTTTGCCCGTTAGATATCCGCTGGGCCCAAGACTCCAAGTCTCCAAGACTGAACCAGTTCCATATCGGCAGACCCGAGAAGTAAGCGCACGCCTCAGGTATTGTACGGGCCAACGACAGGTAAACCGGCCTCGATAACGTATGACCGTATGAATCTGCCAGACACAGCAACTTTAACCATAGCAGCAGAGAATAATAAATAATGTCATCGCAACACGTAACACAGCTGGTAGTTTGGAAGCTAATGGAATGGCCCTGGCGTTCTCGGCCTGACCGTCTCACACATCTGTCAGACCATGCTGTCAAGTAAATCCAAGACCAAGAAATTGCGCATCTGTGCTTTCATGTGCGGTTTACATATATATGACTTACACAAATTATGGACGCTACATGTGAACATATACAATTCGTCATGCTTTCGGCCATTTTGTCCTTTCTGCTTCGTAAGGCAATAATCCTTCCGTTGGCCTGTAAGTTTGATGCCATAGTAGGACAGTTAAATGTGATGGTTTGCAACGCGGATCGTAACATTAATCCACATCCAAAACACGGGCACAAGATGGCCATCGAAGGGTGCCCGTATCTGCATCTGCTGCCACATTTCCAACGGTTCAACTGGTTCAATAGATACGGACAGACCATCGACACAGCCATTTACACATGAAGTGAATATCCGTCTACAAATCGAGTCCAACCTTGAATGACTTAAACAAACTAGAGGCAACGAAGTCAAAAAGAACAACCAAAAGTTCAAGCAGGGGAGTACCAACGGTGGTGACCTGGGAAAAAGCTAACTTGCGAGCTGATCAGGAATGGAGTTGAGCTGCCATCAATCCGGCAATTTCCGTTAGATGCCGGTGGTGGGTGCGGAACCTGAGCGATCCACTGAGAAGTTGACTAGGGTGACTGGATGAGGGTGCCCCGAAATACCGGGGAAGGCAGGGTTTCGCAGGGTAGCTGCCACGGGCGAATGCCGCCCTGGCCCACACAATATACAGGCGCCCTAATGGGATAGGGCTGGCAGCAGCAGCACCACCACCACCACCATTACCACCACCACCATTACCACCACCACCACCAGCAGCAGAGAAACTCGAGCAAATTCGCGCGGGCATCAGCCATCATATCAAGTTATCAGCAGATGCGCTTGAAAACATTGTCCTGAACCTACCTGTGGAGCAGCACTAGGGCGCCCTACAGTACTGTAGCAGCGCCACTATATGGGACGACTTCATCTTGCTTAAGGAATGGCGATCATGCGTCACATCCGGTGCGTATGTGTGTATGATGTGTGAAACAGGGGGGTGTATCTTCGCCCGTGGCAGCTACCCTGCGAAACCCTGCCTTCCCCGGTATTTCGGGGCACCCTCATCCAGTCACCCTAGTCAACTTCTCAGTGGATCGCTCAGGTTCCGCACCCACCACCAGCATCCAACGGAATCTGCCGGGTCGACAGCGGCGCAACTCCATTCCTGGTCGGCTCGCAGGTTAACTTTATCCCAGGTCACCACCGTCCATCAACTAGGGGCGCAATGCCTTCCACCATCGGAAGGACTTTTGACCCTAATGGGTATCGATCCCGGGATCTCCCGGGGGCAATGGTCGCGCCTTATATGTGTATGTATGTTGTTACAGGGTGGTATAGCTTCACCAGCGGCCCCCTTTCCCGAGGCAGTTCCCTGCTCTCCCCTCTGCGAGAAGGGCACCCTAATCCTTTCACCCCATCCGACTTCAGAATGTATTCGTTGGGTTCAGCAACTCACCACCAACATCCATCCAAATCTAGCGGATCAACGGCGCCACAACTTAGTTCCTAGTCAGCTCGCAAGTTGATAAAATCACGACCTACATCGTCCACAAGATGGGGGCCGCCCCCCATTTCAACACCCCTCTCACACCGAGGAGGCGGATTTGAACCCGAACCCTCCGGGAGCAGAAGACAGGCCACTTGTGTACCAGCCACCTGTGTACGTAAGTATGTATGGCAACAGTTGCAGCTACCTGCTATCCAACTGCCTGCCAACATGCGCCAGAAGAGTCGATTTTAGACACCTGCACCATTTCTAAAGGCTCTCCAAAATCACGTATCCTATAACGTATGTGCTTGGAACAGACGATCGACTCGTCAAACCTCTGTGACCCGAGGAAACATGTATGCCTACCCCCCCGTGATGTATCGGAATTTTTCACAGCGTGCAACTGTCCATGCCAAATTATACAAGACGTGATAGTCGTGACGAGTGATGGCTCGGGCCCTCCGGTCGGTTTGGTCAGTAACGGTCAAACTCAGACGATCGCCCATCAATCAGCAGCAGCAGGCCTGCAGCTCGCTGTCCGACAGCAGCTGTCAGACGAGCGCGCGCACGGTCCACAAATCTAGGACGGGCTCCTAGGATGTACGAAAGAATGGGCGTTAGCACATCCATTTTGATATATATACATAAGCCATGCAATAGTGATGCATACGGCCATTGTCGGTCCTTCTTTACGGTATGTTTCTTGATTGTAATACATATGCTTTGGGATGCTCGAAGCTTCGCCTGTGGAGCGTTCTTATGGTAAGTGCAGGAGCTGTTATCCTTTGCCAGATAAGTCAAACCATGTCAAGTCTTTGAATCCTTCTCAGGCCCACTCGTCCACGACATACATACGGACAGATGGGGAGCGTTTTCAGCGTATGCGGATGATTGCATCTTGCTGTGTACGTGGCATTCCGCTTGCCATAAAAACCGTCCTAGCACCGTACTCCTAGGACTGTATACCCTATGCGTCCTTCTACCCGACACTCCGACACCCCATCCCCGTTCCCTATCCTCCCAAAAAGGTCGCGGAGCAAGCGGAGCGCGGTGTCTCAACCAGCTGATCAACACGTCTGCGGGCATACAAATGCTGCCGCGGCAGCCTTGCTTTGTTTTGGAGCCTGGGCAAAGCCATTTCCGCGTCCCGCCTGATGTGAAGTTGTCGTTGTCTACAGGTCCTGCCCTAATGTATATTAGATAAGGTTAGGACACGATCTACAAGCGATGGAGTATTTACATAGAACAGACGACGCTGTCCTTCTTCGCTACCTGGAATCGCAAGTTTTCATCCTAGGCTCCCTAGCTACGTAGCTATACTGTGTCGGCTTAGAGTTGCGGATATGTAGTTTGGATATTGGTCATTTGCACGACCCGCCGCCGCAGCAGCGTGCGGCTGCCCTCCCAGCGCCGTGTGTGTAGGAGAGCGTACCTGTCCAGCTGGCGATTGGATGCCTTGACCATCGCTGCGGCACCGCTGAAGCCCCCCGTGCGTGCACGTCTACCCCGGACACAGGCAACATTTGATATGTGGTGATGCAGGTCCGATATTCTTATTCATATATATATATATATATGATAAGAATATTCATATATATAGGCAACATATGATATGTGGTGATGCAGGTCCGATATTCTTATTCATATATGTGGTGATGCAGGTCCGATATTCTTATTCATATATTCTTATTCATATATATATATATAGGGTTTTAGGGTTTTATATATATATATTCATACATATATTCATATATATAGGTATATATATATATATTCATATATATATGAATATATAATATTATTCTTATTAATATTATTCTTATTCATATATATATATATAATATTTTAACAGCCCAACCACGTGGTTGGGCTGCTGCAGAACCAGATATCAAATGTTGCCCATGTGTCCGGGGTACGTCGTACCGACAACTTTCGCTGGTTTCGGTCGCCGCTGTGCGGTGGGTCTACGAGTTGCCTTGATGCCCTGGGCTGCCGTTGCGGGCGGCTTGGGCGCTGCCCTCATCATCCCGTCAAAAGAAGCACACTTAAGGCTGCTAGCGCGCTACAGTTGTTACAGTCTGGCGTCCAGCGGCGAGGCAGCAATGCTCAAGGCGTCCAATCGCCAGCCGGCCATGCATGGTCTTAACACGGCGCTGGGAGGGTGGCGGCTGGGCGGCGGGTCGTGCAAGAATCCATCCTGAATTTACTGTGAAATGCCTTTTTCGATGCGTGGCTATGTCAAGAGGAAGTAGCAAGGATAAGGAACTGGTTTAGGGGTGAGGTGTATGCGCCATAGGATACTGTAGTAATCCTCATGGCTCGTTTCCAACCCCAAAAAACATGATGGATGTGGCGAGGGGCAAGTTCGCATCCCGTTGATTCGGTCACGTCATGTGACCGTCATTATATGACAGACAGAAGGAGCTGAAATGGGTTAAATCTGCCCTGCCTTTTCGATTGACAGTATGTACAATCTTCTGCCCTCCTAAGTGAGCATTCTCGGGCAGTTGATTTGGTGATGGGTCTTTCTTACAGTCGATGCGCGCTACTGGGACATGTACGATGACGGTTGAGAGGTATTAACATCGTTGTTTGTCCGTCTTATGTTATCTGCACAGCAAAGGGTCGTTGAGATGCCATGGACGGTTCTTGTTAGCAGGGTGGACGTACGATGTGGTGTGGCTAGATGGTTTCTTGTAACCTCGAGTAACAAAACCTAGTATTATTATTCCTTCATTCCTTCTTCCGGTTATACTTTCCTGCCTAGACCCGCTTCATGACGAAGCTTAGAGAGAAGAGAAGAGAAAATGCTGAATGGTGCTGGTGTACGTACAGCGCCCGTTCTCACACCGACAGACTTGAAATGACAAGACTCAGCATTACTACATGACGGCCAACAAGCCAGCCACATACACATACTCCACCAACTTCCCACTTCGGAAATTTACCCCCAGGATTAATAGCTATACCTCTATCCGTCTGGCATGCTTCACATATCCCTTACATATATATGGCAAATTACGTAAATTCTTTTCGTACGACCGTAACCTGCTCGCCTGCCTGTCTGTCTGTCTGTCGTTTGTAAGTCCATCTATCTGTCTGTCTGTCCATCTATCTGTCTGTCTGTTTACTTGTCTATCGACTCGCACACCCTACCAGCGAGCCCCCCGCCTCCCGTCCACACCCCCATCACCCTCTGCCTCCAACCCCACCACTCGCGGTTGATAAGTTACGGCGGAGGATCCAGGAAGCCAAGAAAGTGCATGTTTTCTACAGCGTGCGAACGTCGAGAAGAAAAACCATTCCTGCAAATTTCACAGTTACTGAATACGTACAAGCCTTGACCGTCCGTACAGTTTACCTTCAAACAAGGCGTTCCTCCTCTTTTCAAATCATTCCTCCTCTTTCAAGCTGTCTCGCAACCCGGCGTCTACCCCTGGGTGTCGCCACTTCCCTTCAAATTGTGTCATCCTCCATCCCCCCCTATACCCCTTGAGAAGTCTCTATCGACTTCTCCCTCGCCATTGCCACCCCCCATGCTCCCTCTGCCGCCCGCTATCATAGCCACCGCTAATAGCAGCAGCAGTAGCAGCAGCAGTAGCAGTAGCAAACCTGGACAGCAGCTTACTCATGGCTGACACTCACCGCTACTCTCCTTCCCCGGCCTCGACCCTTTCCCACGGTGCCTCCCCCACTCGGCGCAGCGTGTGCTGCTGTAGCTGTAGCCGCAGCCGCAGCCGCAGCAGCCGCTCGCGGCGGCCGCGGCGGAGGCACTTCCGGCGCCGCCGCCACCACATCCACCACCTCATCCCCCCCATCAAGCTGCATCACAAACGTGCCGCGCGTCATGCGACCCTGTACGGCAATACCGTCAACGCTCTGCCGTACCACGACACCGTTCCGCGATGCCATGATCACCTCCTCACCGTCACGCACAACCAGCACCGCCACGACGTGGTCGGGTCCAGCGGCCCCCTGCTGCTGCTGCTCCTGCTGTTGCCATTGTGCTGCCGTACCGCCGCTGCTGCTGCGGCGGCTCCGTTGCCGCGCGCGCTCGGCGCTCGCGACGCGGATTGCGACCATGCCTGCTTGCCGCCGCATTCCAAGCCGCAACTGACCCAACGGAATTCGCTTCCCAATGCCGTGCGCAGTTACCAGCAGCAGGCACGGCCCGGCGGGCCCACGGCTCGACGTTTCCTCCTCTCCTTCCTCTTGCTCTCCCTCTTGCTCCTCATCAATAGCTGCGGTCAATCCTTGTTCTCCCCCTTCCTCCTCCTCCTCCTCCCCATCGTCATCCCCGTCCTCTGCTACATCCTCCCCACGCTCGGACGCGGCAGTAGCAGTGCCAGCGGAGGCGGAGGCAGTGGTAGGTAGCTGGGATCCCAGCAGCGGCGCCAACTCAGCGGGCAGCACGGTTATGTCCGCGATGCGGTCGTTGGGCCGGCGCTTGCTCATCCGCATGGCCTGTTCAGTGTATTTATAAGTCCGAAATTGTAAAGATGTGGGTTGGGGATATGGAATGGGGAGAGGACGAAATCAAGTGGAATGGACTGGTGAATGCGGCACCCTGGTGGCTGAGAGTGAGAAACGACGTGGAGGACGCCCCATAGGGGTGAGGAGGAAAGAAGGCAGGGGTCTTAATTTGGGAAACCACACATGCATGCAAAAGTAAGCTGCGGCGGAGGGAAGCCAATTGCCGAATCAAAACTCTGCCGACAAATGGGGGGAGGAAAGACGAACCACGAGCGAGTGAAGCTGATGCGAAGGAAAGAAGGATGTTGTTGCAGATGTCAAGAAAGAATAACTAACCAGTCGACAAAGGGAGGGGAAAGTTGTTGAGAGGAGGGGGTTCAGGTTGAGGATGAGGACCGCAGCCGCTGACTGAATGAGTCACTTACCCGCCAAAAACCAAAAGATTGTGATGCGAGGTTTCCTCTCTTCCTCTCTTTCTATCTTTCCTCATTCATAATCCCTAATGCATTTCCCTTTCCCTTGCCTGGAAGCAAAATTGTCTGTCATTCTTTTACTCCAAACCCTCCAGAACCCGTTCGTACAAGCTGACTGGCTCCCTACCGGGTCCCGCAACGCCACCACACACACACATTCTCTTGTGACTCCTTTTCTATCTCTCTTCATTACCCTCGCTCCACTATGCTCTGTTCTGGGCCAATCTTTCCCCCGCCCTCAAACCCTCAAACCCCCTGTAGGCATCCAACACCACCATGATTTTCCAGTTTCCCAATCCCCATATGAGCAAAACACACACACACACATGCACACATGCACACACACACAGACTGACTTTGGTCCACTTCCTCTCCTTTCCCTACGAACACACATACATACACACACACCACCCACGAAAACAAATACAACAAACACATACACACACACGCGCGCGCTTACATGTGTTCCCGCCGACTGCGGCCCCGAAACCCGCACGTCCGTGGCGGGAAACAGCAGCACCTGTCCCTCCGCGGAGGCAACCACCACCACATCCCCGGGGGAGCGGCTCAGGGCGGCCCAGCACAACTCCTCCTCCCCGGCTTCATCAGGCCCCTTCTTCTTGGAGGCTGCATCGCGGGCGCTGCTACTGCTGCTGCTATCCCTACCATCGCCAGTGGCTTTTGAGCTGCTGGATTCCAGGCCCATCACCTGGAATAGATGATTAAAAGGACATGTAAAGGTGTGTGAACTTACATGCGGAAAAGCCCAGAATGGGGAGATATCATTATTATTATTATTATTATTATTTTTATTTATTTATTTATTATTATTATTATTATTATTATTATTATTATTATTATTATTATTATTATTATTATTATTATGATGATGATGATGATGATGATGATGATCATGATCATGATGATGATGATGATCATGATTATGATCATTATCATGATTATCATCATTATCATGATTATCATCATTATCATCATTATCATTATTATCATTATTATCATTATTATCATTATTATCACTATTATCACTATTATCATTATTATCATTATTATCATTATTATCACTATAATTATTATATATGATGTGTGAAACAGGGGGGTGTATCTTCGCCCGTGGCAGCTACCCTGCGAAACCCTGCCTTCCCCGGTATTTCAGGGCACCCTCATCCAGTCACCCTAGTCAACTTCTCAGTGGATCGCTCAGGTTCCGCACCCACCACCAGCATCCAACGGAATCTGCCGGGTCGACAGCGGCCCAACTCCATTCCTGGTCGGCTCGCAGGTTAACTTTATCCCAGGTCACCACCGTCCATCAACTAGGGGCGCAATGCCTTCCACCATCGGAAGGACTTTTGACCCTAAGGGGTATCGATCCCGGGATCTCCCGGGGGCAATGGTCGCGCCTTACCAGTAGTGCCAAACCCTAGTATGTGTGTGTATGCACGCGCGAGAGTGTTTCTAATGTGACACCTTGGGTTGCGTTACTACTCCCCGTGTGGGTGATCCACTGCAAAGACAACAAGACCGATGACGACGACGACGACGACAACAAAGCAGACAAGACACCCATACAGACAGACAGGCCGACAGAACAGATCCAGATGCAAATACTTGCGCTACCCCCCCAGCCCAACTAAACCTCCCCAGCCAGCACCTTCCCCTGAACCAACCACCTCAACCGTCTCAGGCTACTCCCACCATAATGCCCTTCTTGCTCTCCCTCCGGTTCTTCAGCGCCAGCCGCTTTATCCGCCCGCCCCGAGTGCACAGCACAAGACACGGGCCCGCCACCGCCCCGCCCACGTCCTCGCCCTCCACCTCCTCCTCCTCCTTTGCTTCAGATCCCGCGTCTTCCACCTCCTTCATCCGGCCGACAGACTCGGTGCCACCGGAGGCCGCGGCAGCAGTTGGTCTGGCGGCGGAAGTGGTGGTGGCGGTGGGGGGGCCGGACAGCAGCTCCGGCGGCACAGGCACCAACGCGGCGATTGGAAAGGACTGCGGGATTTTGAGAACCTTTGAAACGGGGGAGGGAGGGAGAAAAAGGAGGAGGGTAGGGTGGGAAAAGGGGGAGGGAGGGAACAGGAAACGTGAGGGGACGAGGAAAGAATTCGGGACCAGGTCCAGAGCCTGTGGGTAAGAGACTCAGCCCGCAAACGTAAAAGCTGTTCAGAGACGCGATGCAAAAAAAAAGACACATGCAAGCACACACAAAGGAAAGAAACTTAGCCAGGTTAGAAGACTCCTCATTTGCCTACAGTACATGTGCGTATGGAAATGTCGTACATGTACGGCAGTGGCTTACATTGGCGACGCTGGTACCCGAGGGACCGGCCACCGCGGCGGCGGCGGCTGCTCCCCCGGAGGTCTAGTACGACCACCGTACACGACCCGAGGATGCGCGGGGGTAGGGGTTAGGGGGGAAAGGGGAAGGAAAGGAGAAGGGAGCCGGGAGGGGGTACGCGGGGTGTGGGACGGCGGGTACGGAAATGTGTACGGACATGTGGAGGAGGATGGAGAGGAGATTGGCTAGAAAAAGTCAAACAGGATGGAGGCCAAGCATGATCAACTGCGAGAAGATAAACGAAGACTCCCCGACGTGAAGGGGTGTGCGTGCGTGTGTGTGTGTGTGTGTGTGTGTGTGTGTGTGTGTGTGTGTGTGTGTGTGTGTGTGTGTGTGTGTGTGTGTGTGTGTGTGTGTGTGTGTGTGTGTGTGTGTGTGTGTGTGAGCGTGTGTGTGTGACACCTTCTTGTGTTGCGCTACCCCGTAACAAGATGCCGTGACGAGGGGCCACATACCGCATACCTTTGACGATGCGCCTGACGCCGAAGCTGACGAGGCTGATGAGGCTGATGACGACGACGGCGGTACGGCAGCTGTCCGTGTCTTGAACATCCTGCCGTCCGGCGTAACGACCATCAGCAGATCCCGGTCGGAGCCGGCAACCAGGCTGGCCAGCTGGTCGCCGCTGCGCAACCGAATTCCCGATTTGCCTGTTTAGGCGACATGATTAGATGATGAAAAGATGATGATGATGATGATGAGTGATGTAATTTGGTTGGGCAGCAAGGTGCAGCAGCAATAATAATTGCACAGTTGCGCGTGGTGTGGGTAGTAGGGGTGCGGTGCGTGAGATGGGTTGAGGTGTGTGGCGAAGCGGAAAGGATGTTGGGAGGGGGGGTTTCCCATTCGAGAGATCTTATAAAAGAGAATGTACGGCGAAAAAACAAAACAAAGAAACTGAGAAATATTATCGTATGTAAAACGGAATGTTGTACTATTCTATTCTTTTAGTAGTAGAAGGGCATATGAAACAGCGAAACAATTTTTTGTAATTGTAAAAACTTTTATTAACAGAAATAATTGCGTTTTTTTAGTTTTAGTTGCCCTTCCCATCGCTCACACAACAACTTCCCAGCAACGCCTCTCGCTGGCCCCAACGCCTCCCCATTTCTCCCCCCCCTGGAGGTCCCGGACGGCCCGGGTTACCTACCTCGCGTGTTTCGGTTCTGCGCCGTCAACGAGTCCCCCGCCAACCGCCTCAGAAAGCCCCGACGTGATGCCAGTACGAGACAGGGCTTTGGCGGGACGAGGGACTCCAGGGAAGGAGTGGCGGCTGCAGGAGACGGGGTTGGAGGAGGGGAAAGGGGCGAGGGAAGTGCAAGCAGGGGGAAGGTGGAACCCACACAGGGGCGTGTGTGGGTGTGTCTTTGTGTGTGTCTTTGTGTATGTATGTATGTACTTAAATGCCTCGCGGTCACAAGTGGCATGCCAGATTGGAACATGGATATGTGAGAAAGTGAAGAAATGTTTAAAAAAAATCATTTCTGCTATCTTTTAAAACTTTTCAACTTGTTTTTTTCTTATTAAGGACTAATAAGATAATGCCCTTCGGCATACAGCTAGATTCTAGCGCAGAGTACACCTCAGCATGTCGTCGTGAGGATCCAAAAGCAAGGTCGTTAAGAAGTATGGCTTATTATCAGAGCCGAATTACTCCACTCCAGCGCAGCCAATCTCCCCTTGCTGTATTTGTGTAATTTATAAAATTTCTGTTGGTGTTTAAAACACCGTACTACTCACGTACATCCTCCGCCGCCACCAGTGCCGTACGACGGGGTTCCGGAAACGCCGCCGCCAGCGCCTCTGCCTCCTGCTCCACCACCGCCAACAGTGTCGTACGGTTGGCCAAAATGTCCCCCAGCCTCGCAATGCTATCGGCGTACCGTGCATAGTCGGGAGGTGGGAAAGACGGCGTACGGCGGCATAGTACGTGTACATGTACATGCACGGCAAAGGGAAGGACACGGAGGAAAGGCTTCGGCGGGGAGAACATCAAAATAAGCATCATACTCAAACAAGTTGTTTAATAATCTTATTACCATGTCACGAACAACTTGCAGTTTGCAGAAATGAGAGGCGCGGAGGCCGCCTCAAGATTTTCTTGGAAGGTCCAACCAGCGGGGGTAGGGTAGGGTAGGGTAGGGTAGGGTAGGGTAGGGTAGGGTAGGGTAGGGTAGGGTAGGGTAGGGTAGGGTAGGGTAGGATAGGGTAGGATAGGGTAGGGTAGGGGAACCCCCCCTGCTTTTGGACCCCCTCTTTGGGGGTTAATCGTGTCGGCCGCATCCCAATACACACATATAGACGCACACACATACATACACACACATACATACAGATGCACACATACATACACACACCTCTGCTGCAGCTCCCGGCGTTCCTGGTCCAGCTTAGCGGCTTCCAACCCGGTCAGACGGCGCAACGTAAGGCCCAAAATAGCCTCCGCCTGGAGTTCAAAGCGGGGAGAGGGTGTGAAGGGGGCACATGCTGCTGCAGCGGCTGCTACTACTGCTGCTGCTGATGATGATGATGATGCTGATTGATGATGTTGATGATGATGATGATGCAAGAAGCGAAGGGTTGCCGGCTGACGTCCAAAGCAACAAATTCTGGAGGAAGGAGGGCGCACCCACCCACTCACCCACCTACCCACCTACCCCCCCCACACACAAACTCTATTCCATGTATCTCAATACACGCTCGCACTCTCTTTCTCCTTTCCCGACCCCCCCCAACCCCCCACCCCCCCTCCCGACCCCCTCTCCCCACCCACCCCCTCTCCCCGCCGACCTGCTCCTCGCTGAGTCCGTGTTTGGCCACCAGTGCCCTCCTCGCCGCCCCCCCGTCCTCCGCCGCCCGCACATCCGCCACCACCGCATCCAGCCGGCCCTCCTCCCGCAGCAGCCTGAGGAACCCCTCCACGAGGTGAAGCCGCTGTTGGGCGGCTCGGAGGGAGGCGGAGGAGCGGCGCTGAACCACATCACATCTGGGGCACGAGGGTTTTGGGGGGAAGAGGGGGGAGGGTGCGCGGGAGGGTGTGTGTGTATGGGTGTGCGTGGGGGGGGGACGACCGGTGATGAAAAGGGTGCAGGGGGAAAGATGACATGCAACGTGACGTAGTTACGGGGCTCCGTCATGCCAATACACGTCCCGAGCGGTGGTGCAACAGCCCTTGAATATGCGGGGGACGACTGAAGGGGCGTGACACGGGAGGGAAAGAAGGGTTTTAGAGGGGGAACATCCGGCTGCATCAGGTGAGAATACCACACAGGATAGGATGATACAGATCTCTAGACAGTTTCCGTACAAACCCAAAACACACGCATGCACACGCGTGAACCCCTCACGCTGTGTTTCCCTCAAAAAGATCTAAAAATGTACGGCGCGGATAAGCCCCCAAATTACCACTGCCACTACCACCATCACCACGACTATCACCACCATTTCCTTACCTGAAGTCCAGAAACGCCAGCAACATGTCCTTGAGACCCATCTGCAAGGGCTTCGTGTTTAGCAGAGATGTGCAGTTGTAGTGGAAGTTTACCTGTACGGCATAGTACGACACAGTACGGCACGTCGTCTCGATGCAGTACAAGAAAACAGAAAATGCAAACCGTACGTGTTAGAATATGATGAAGTACGCAACGATAACCGCTAAGCTCAATCTCACATATGACTCCTGGAGCTCTAAAAGCAAGATGCCAAAGAGAACCGTTTAAACCCTAAAACCCTAACTCATCAAGGGCAACTGATTGCTTGTTCCAATAACTCCTGGGCAACCCAGGGGACTGAAACCCGCAACCCGCCTACCCATTACAGCCCACTAGGAGGAACAGACGGACGTAGAGCCGCGCGCATGCCCCTGCGCTGTGTTTCGGCCCCCGGTCAGGGCCCTGCGCGGTGCTCTCGGTCCTTTCTCGGGACGAGAGCCGCCCCCCACAGTGTAACACCCCCCATCAACTCAATACAATACAGCCCAATGATCGCAAAACCCAGAAGTATCCGGGAGTCGGTACTGCACCTGCAACCTCGTACTGTTGTACAGTTGGGCGAGGACCACCTGCGCCGGTGTGATACGTGTGTGTATGCGTGTCGGGAAGTTGGGAGGGGGGAAGAGGGAGGGAAAATCTGAACGAGCCATGACGTCCGGCGGAAGTAAGGTGTAAAGGTAAGCGAGGAGAAGGGAAATGGGGGGGGAGGGTACCGCAGGGGGCCCTGGTTCTACCCCCCGGGGGAAAGATGGGAAAAGACATACATACACACAGATATACACGCCACACNCTTTTCATCACCTACTGAAGCCCCCCTTTACCCTCCACACTCCCCTCCCTCCTTACCTTCCCCTCATTTTGTCCCGCCCCGCCCCACCCCACCCCATGTGCCCAAACCAGGCCCCCTCTCCGCTTTTTCACCCACCTTCCCACTGTAACCCTTTTTGACCTCCACTACAACCCGTACACCCGTACGGTCGCTCTCGTCCCGTACATCCGACGCTCCTTCGAGCTGTTTAGACTCGATGAGTTCCGCGATAGAGGCCACCAGATCCGACTGGGGATGCAGGGGGGAAGGGGAGGGGGAGAGATACAGAGAGGGTGGGGGGGGGGAGATGTACGAGGGGTAGACGTCCTCAAAGTCCGAAAAAACTGCCCAGGAGCGAATCCTAAGCGATATGGTCATTGACCCGTGGTTCCGGAAGTAAAGCCGATTACGCTGCCGACATTACCGGGGGGGTTCTTATATGGTGATGCAATATCCGCAGCAATGACACGGCGGGAAAACCCAGTACTGCCGCCTGACGTCCACGCAAAAGCTGCCAGACAACGGCTGACGGGGGGTTCATTTTATAAAACCCGCCACGAGACGAAACTGCGCTTTGTGAAAACGTTTTGATATACCGAACGTTGATGAACGTTTGGGGGCAGATGAATAGATAGATGAATAGATAGATAGATAGATAGATAGATAGATAGAAAAAAAGAGGAAAATAGAGAGAGGGAGAGAAATTTCCGAATTCTGTGAGACACGAAGTATGACAAGATGTTAGGAAGGGTGCCGCTAAAGGCACATTACTCCAGAGGACCACGGACACAAATATATCGTACAACAATCTGTGGTACAACATGTGCCGTACCTTGTACACCTGGTACGGCAGCTCCGTGATTACGACAAGCTCCCTACCGCTTCCACCTCTACCGCCGCCAATATCCTCATCAACTGCCTGTGCCGCCGCCGCCGCCGCAGCGGCTCCACGACGGCGGCGAGTCCGACCCGCCGCCGTCGCCACCTCATCATTTCCGCCGCCGTCGTCACCGCCGCCGCCGCCGCCGCTGCCTCCACCTACCCGCTCTATCGTTGCCTTGCCGCGCACCACAACCGAACCCCTTCCGGTCTCGTACACCTGTATATACCGGCAACACGGTTTTATGGTTTCGGAGCCAAGTTGGTTTTGGAGCCAGGCCAGGCACCACGGAAAACGGTTGGTTGTGTTTGTGTTCCGTTCGAACCGTACACGACCATTACATGCTTCATTTAACCGTCCAAAGACCACCCACAACCATCCGTACATGCGCAACCCTACACACGCACCCGACACACACAAGGACTATCAAAACAAACACACATACACACACACTCGCTCACACACACACGCACTTCCCCCCCAACACTTAACGTCCATCTCCCCCACACTTCAACCCCCCCCCCCCCCCATCCTCCCCCCCCACACACACACACGCAAACCCGCACCCACTTGCAAGAGCTCGGGTCCCACCACCACCTCGCCACCTAACGAGGGACGAAAGGAGGGCAAGCAAGCGGGCGGGGGAGCCGTGACGACGGAATCGGGATGCGCGGGGGATCTTCCGCAGGGAATAATAAGGTGGAGATGGTAAAGAGGTGTATGTGTGTGTGCGTGTGTGTGTTGGCGGGGGGGTTGTATGTGTGTGTGTGTGCCTTCTTTACTTCTGGCGCATCAGTCTCTCCTTGCCATCAGCTTAACTCGCTCGTGGGAACACGACGAACCACGAGCGAGTGAAGGTGATGGCAAGGATAGACTGATGCGCCGGAAGTAAAGAAGGCATAACTAACCAGTCGGCGGTCGTGAAGGAGTCGTCCTCGATGTGTGGGGGGAGAGGGGTGGGATTATAGCGACGGGGGAGGAATAAAGAAAAACAACAGCCAAGGTAAGGGGGTTGGGAGGAGATATATGCGAATAGCGAGCCGGAGCGACTGCCGATGTTCAAATCCGCAAACTGTTGGGCTGGGTCAAACTGCAGGGGGGAGCCGGGCCGCCGGAGGGCGACCCGTGGGTCGCGGTGCTGCGGTAGTTTAGGGTTGAGGTGGGGAATCATGTGTAACGAAATCGGAAATGGATGATACTGGGTTGGGGGAGAGATGGGGCCACCGGAGTCGCACCATACGACACAGGACTGCTTGCACGGGTACGGAACGTCCGATATAACTTAGAAGCCCCCCAAAAAACCAACTTTCGGGTTATCCCCCACAGGCCCTACAGGCCCTGCGTAACTAATATCCATCCAGTCACTTAATTTACCACCAACCAACCAACTACCTGAATTAACTGCCCACCTGTGGGGAAGTCCGGTCCACGCACGTGCTTCAGGAGCTCCTCCGTGGTGACCCGTGGGTCAGTGATGAGGGCCCGTAGCGCCGAAACCACCTCCCCTAGATTATGCGGCGGGATGTTTGACGCAAGGCCCACCTGAAAAACACCATACACACATTCGTGTACATACACACCACATCGCGGCACAGATCATTCATATACACACCACACAAAGTAGCACACGCGGCCCCCTCGAGTTCATGTTCCTCACCCCTCTCCCCCCTTCCGCTCATCACACCCTCTCCACAACATGCTCCCGACTCTTCACGCCCGTCTCCCCTCCCCCCCCTCTCTCTCTGTGTGTGTGTGTCTTTCTGAGGCCTCATCTCCCTCTACAACCACTTTTCTTCCCTTCCCGTTCCTCTCGGACACCTCGCCTCCTGAGACACCCTTCCCCCCCCCTTAGCGCACTTATCCTTCTGTCTTTTCCACTTCTTTTCCTTCTCTTCCCCCATTCCTCGTCTGTGGTACGTCTTTCCTCCCCTTCTTCCCTCTCTCTCTCTCTCCCTCCCTCCCCCGC